TTGAGCTATCCAAAGACCCAAATACACACTGTAAAAAATTATATGATCAAAAAGTTCATAACATATGTTTTTACATTGCTTTAACTCATCAAAACAAGTTAAGCAATTTTCAACTTTTTTATGTTATATAAGATTCAGCTTTTTTTAAGTCAGTTTAATGTAATTCAAGTGATTCTACTTAAAAATTTAAGGCAACACATTTTTTTTTACAGTGCATGTGATATAGCTAGAAACACTTGGGATTATGAACTATAATAGTCCTGACAATCCAGTGAACTCAATTGAATTTTACATGTCAACTGTTCTATTCTTTAACATTTTAGTCTAAAAAATCACTTTCATTTTGCATTCAGATGTTTGCAATATAAACTGAAGCTAAATCACATATAAGTTTTCATTACTAAAAAGACTCCAAAGAGTGGTGCCTCTACGCCCCCCCCCCCCCCCTCCCCCCCTCCCCCCCCCCCCCCCTCCCCCCCTCCCCCCCCCCCTCCCCCTATTTATTTCTCATTTCGATGTTTATTCAGTGATCTTGAGAGTAATCTGAGTCATCGCTATCGATAAGTGTCTCGTATGAGCTGTAATCTCCAACACTGAGTGTGTGTTGATCTCAGTGCTCCTTCCCGGGTGCTGGTGACCCGCCGGTGACCCTGCAGCGCGGACCCTGACATCTCTGTGAACTCTGGCCACAAAGCTCGCCAAGTTCACTGTCCATCAAATAACGAGATACGCAGCCTGAGCAGCAGTAATTATCCACACTGCCATCCATTCTGTGCTGTCCATCACAAAAATCAAATCAAGGGCATCATTAAAGCCACTTACAGTAATGTTCTAATTGGGTCAAGAGATAAACAGCCTTTCTCTGGTGTGCGAAAGAGAGAGTTTTAATTGGAGCCTTGGATGTTGGTCGTCGCCTTTATCACAGTTTCACCCCATTCATCACAGAGGTCCGCCGCCTATATTTAGCTATACAAGGAATAGGCCGTTTTAAAACATGGCGGTGAAAATGAGTCTGCAAATTATATAATGACTTTAAGAAGGGGTAGAATTTTGTAAATCAATTTCTGACAGGAATTTTCGGGGCACAAGATGTGCGTTCGTAACGAATACGCATTAGCAAATCGTATTTTGTTAAATGCCAACCATTTGAAATATGTTTTAAATAAAACACGTTTGTGCGCCCTGGCTTGTAATCTAACTTTTGTGTTGACTAAAATGTTTGAAAATGTTGGCTGCATAAATAAGTAGTACTAAGCCTTTAAGGGAAAGTTCACCCGAAAAATGAAAATTCTGTCATCATTTACTCACCCTCAAGTTGTTCCAAACCTGTATGAGTTTCTTTCTTCTGCTGAACACAACAGAAGATATTTTGAAGAATATGGGTAACCCAAACAGTTGTGGGGCACCATTTGTATTTTTTCTCCAAGTCAGTGGTGCCCCACAACTGTTTGGCCACAAACATTCTTCAAAATACCTTCTTACGTCTTCAACAGAAAAAAGAAACTCGTACAGGTTTGGAACAACTTGAGGGTGTGTAAATGACAGAATTTTTATTTTTGGGTGAACTATCCCTTTAATTAGTAGCGTCAGATTCCCCCATCCCCACATAATTCGGACCGTGATGAAAATGAATCGTTTTCTATTACCACGTATAAAGATATATCTACGCTCGGTCGAAATTAGCTACTTTATATAGCCTACGCTAGAATATAAAATTATTAATTGTCAGCTATTTCAGAGTAGCCTATATGGTACAACCAAAGGGGTACAACCGGCATTTCTTTACATTGGATGACGTGTACGCAGCCTGCTGGAGCTAGCTGTTTCTTTTTCTTTTTTGGAGCTACTGGTTGTTGTTGTTGTTGTTTCCTCGCATAAAATGACTCGCATTAGTGACACGTGGCACAGCTATAGGTAGTGAATTTGTCTTTGATTTATGAGTTTACATGACATATAGACCAGCGAACGCTGTTTGAACCGTGAGCACCGCAGGAGGGGGTCACGAGAGCACAGCCAAACAGTTCACTAAAGGGTCAGACTGAAGACTGACTTTAAGCTAACCTCCAGCCTCTGGAGCCTCATTCTGTCTTTTATTTGCATTTAAAAATACTGCTGCTATTAAAGGATCCTTCCCGGTCAAACAAAACAAAACGATTAGATGGTAGAATATATAAAACGTTCTTAACTGTGTCACTAATGGGTGAAAAGACCTTATATGGTAATTCCTGTTCTGCAATGGCTTTGAATGCTCTTGCTTTTGTATATAAAAAAAGAACGTCATGAGCTGTAATTTAAATAATTATTTATATAAAAGTGTATAGCGGATTAAAACATTAGAAATATGCTCCTGACAAGATTATAGTCACTTAAAAATGTCATTATTATACCTTGATCAATTACAAAATGGGTTGAGCTGAAGTTAGCCTTGCTCATTGCTCAGTGAGAGAGTTTACTTTAGGTGCAGTGGCGTAGGTTTGATTTTGAAATTGGTGGGGACGGGGACATCAATGTATAAATATATTTTAAGTTTTGATCGAAATTATTGCTAGGGATATATCAGTGTCATTGGATATTGGTAGGGACACGTCCCTAGCGTCCCTACCAAATTCTACGCCCCTGTTTAGGTGTGTCAACTTGAAGTTCATTTTGATAATTTTTATTTAAGTTTAAGCATGACCAACTTCTGTAATGGTGTTGTAATTCTGTACTTTATTTTACAGTCCCTGTTTCACATGGACATATGTGTGTACTTATTATAGTAATGACACTATAACTACTAACCCTGAACATACCCCTAAACCTAACCTTAACCCATGTATTACCTTACACTCATTTTTTTCATGCCTGATGAAGGTCGTGAGACTGTGAGACCGAAACTTTGCTAATAAAATTTTGATACTCATTTAATGTGCGGGAGTTCCTTGTTTTTTTTCCCTACGGCATGTTAATAAAAGCAACTTAAATGTCCTAATTGAACTAAAACCTAATCCTGTCTTAATCTGAGCCCTGTTTGTGAAACCGTGATCAGTTGAATTAACTTAAAAAAGTGAGGAAACCTGTTGCCTTAAAATTATTAAGTAGGCTAAATGTTATAAACTAGATGCGTAAATGAAAAAAATAAGTTATGTGGAATTGTCAAGTTCACATAACTTAATTTTTTTTTCAATTAAACATTCAATCACACAGTTTGTTTACTTAATCTTAAGGCAACGGGTTTCCTCACTTTTTTGAAGTGAAGTCAACTGATCACTTTTTACAGTGTACGTAATATTTTATTTTATATTATATACAAATAGGCTATAGCTTTATTGTCTGGGTGAGTGACAAGGGTACAACAATAAAACATGTAAATAAAAGGCACTTGAAAAGTAACGAAAATACAGGATGAGGGCATTGAAAAAAGTTTTCAAGTCACTTATATGGGAACTTTCATACATCAAAAATGAAAAATGGAGAGCTGAAAAAATCCAATAAAAGCACCCAAAATTGTTGAAGAAATACCCTAAACAATTTTTATAAAGCACTGCTCAACAAGCTATTATTTTCTGGTGTAGACTACGGAATAAAGCAAAGATGCAAGAGATGCTGAAGTAGGGTGAATTTAGGTTGATTGGGACACTGTTCGGGAGAGTCATCTCAATGGCAAGTGTCCCAATCCCCCTGAATTCACCCTACCTAGAGCCAGTGCATCTCTCCACTGAGCGGCCAGCCCGCAGAGCCCGTGGGGGAGGGCAGACGGCTCGAGTGAGTCCCGTGCGATGGTCCAGCACAGGGCCCAGAGCTGCCGGTGTTGTGCCGAATTCTGACCCCCGCCACATTACTACCCCCGAGTCCCCAGTAGGTTTAGGATTAGGGGTGGGGTTAGGATTAGGCAACCAGGCAGTGGGTTCAAGGAGGGGGTTCATAATTTGTATATATAGAACTTCAAATGCATTCTTCTAAAAGAAATAAATGAATAAAATAAATATAATAAAACTATTTTTGTAATATAATAATTCACAGTAGGTTAAAATACACTTTATATATATATATATATATATATATATATATAGAGTATATACACACACACATTTATTTGACGTGAAATCTGTATGTTAACATTTCTCTGTACAGAGCGACAACGTGGTTGATATTAAGAAGCAAAAAAATTGATCAAATGTATTTTTGTGATAATATTTTATTAAAGCACACAAATAAAAATGAATGGGCTTTGAAAACAACTGAAGTCACTTGGGTTTGTGTAACTCCAGGTAATGCCAGAGAGAGATTTATGGATATTGTGATTCTGTCTGCCTTATTGAAATGTTGAATATTAGGGTGACACTTTATAATAACTTTCATTAACAAACATTATATAATGCTCAACAGATCATTGGTTAATGTACATTCAAATACTTGTAATGTCTTGAAACCATGATTCATCTGTTTTGAGGTCTTTAAATTATGAGTTATTTTAAAGCGAAACTAATATTAGTGTTGTTACAGCCATGAAATGGAAATATGGAAACACTCTCAGAGCTAATGACAAATGTTTTATCTTTACATTCCATCCCCCCCTCCCAATTTTAACAAAATATTGTGGTATATACAATGGTACTCTAAATACATAAGCATACAGTTGCTTTTTAAAACTTAAATAATTTTCAGTGCAAAATGCCTGTTAAAAATAAATTTTAAGAAACAAAATAAAACCATAAGTGGATAACGAAATATTGTGATTTTTTCCAATGCAACTTTGCACAGAGTCTGTAGCTGGACCAATTATTGCTTATTTATTTTCAGATTAAAATGAGATTGTAAAGCATTTGAACCCAAAGCTTTCTATTCACCCTGAGAAAATAAAAATAAAATATAATTCTGTGGCGCATCTGTACATCATCATTCAGTGAAATGTAGGTGACGACTTTAGATTCTTTTACATGAAGAAGTGCTTTTTGTGCACACAAGTTTGAACAAAGTCTGCCCATTTAAAAGGAAAAAAAATGAAGCATTCTCATGCAAATGTTATTATCATTTATAAGTCACCTAATCTGAGTCAAATTCAACTCAAGGCAGACGGATGGGAAGCATGATTCCATTGCAGTGTTAAATACATTTAAAAATATTTACAATAAAAACTTCATCCTTGTTACACTAGGGAGAACTTCATACAGGTTGCAATATGACCATCAGCATCAGCAGTCACATACACACCTCCGCTCTCTCAAGTGTAGTGTTACAGTCATTGCACTTTCACAACGTACAAAACATAATTCTCAACCTTTAAAAATACATTACAAAAAAATTACTGCATAACTTCTGTTTTTTTCTCTTCATCAATTTACATTATTAGCCTACAGTGGTGAATATTTTGGCAGAAGACATGGAGGATGCAGTCAAAATATACCACAGTACTTTGAGTTGTTAACTTACAGCGACTTAAAAAAAGGGCCAAAGCAAGAAGAAGAATATAGTTTATAAGTTACGTTGTCAAAACCAGCCCAGTGTTTGGAGTTCATGTGAACGACTCTAGGAATGCTGGGACATTCCATTCACCAGACTTCTCAGCTGCTTCACCACCGTCTCGATCAATTTCTGCTTGTCACGGTCGTTCTTTCTGAACTGGGAGAAGATGTTGTTCTTTTTACTTGTGTCTTTCATCCTAGAAAAGCAATGTGAGACGAAAATATAACAGTTTATAACAGCATTCGAGCTTATGATGAAGACGTGAACAGTCATATATACACACACACAGCCACATATACACATATATATATATATAAACATACAATATATACAGTAGTTAACATTTGAAGTGGATCAAAAAAGTTCATCAAAGTTATCCTAAGACAAAAAAGGGTATTGTTAAAGATTCATGTATAACTTTGATGAAAGGTTTCGATCCACTTCAAATGTTGACTACTGTGTATATATATATACACACAATATCTCACTAAAGTGAGTACACCCCTCACATTTCAGCAAACATTTTAGTATATCTTCTGAAGGGACAAAACTATAGAAATGAAACTTGGATATATTTTAGAGTAGTCAGTGTGCTGCTTGTATAGCAGTATATATCTACTGTCCTCTGTAAATAACTCAACATATAGCCATTATTGTCAAAATAGCTGGCAACAAAAGTACACCCTAAGTGAGCATGTCAAAACTGTGTCAAAAGTGTCAATATTTTGTGTGAGCACCATTGTCATCTAGCACTGCCTTAATCCTCCTGGGCATGGAGTTCAGCAGAGCTGCACAGGGTGTTGCTGGGACCCTCTTCCACTCCTCCATAATGACATCACGGAGCTGCTGGATGTTAGACACATGGCGCTTCTCCACCTTCTGCTTGAGGACGCCCCACAGGTGCTCAATAGGGTTCAGGTCTGGATACATACTTTGCCACTCCATCGCCTTCAGCTTCCTCAGCAAGGCAGTTGTCATCTTGGCGGTGTGTTTGGGGTCGTTATCATGCCGTTCGGTCCAGTTTCTGAAGGGAGGGCATCATGTTCTGCTTCAGAAAGTCACAGTACATGTTACCCTCAATGAAGCACAGCTCCCCAGTACCAGCAGCACTCATGCAGCCCCAGACCATGATGCTACCATCACCATGCTTGACTGTAGGCAAGACACAGTTTTCTTGGTACTCCTCACCAGGGAGTCGCCACACATGTTGGACACTATCTGAGCCAAACAAGTTTATCTTAGTCTCATCGGTCCACAGGACATGGTTCCAGTAATTCATGCTCTTGGACAGGTTGTCTTCAGCAAACTGTTTGCAGGCTTTCTTGTGAGCCAGCTTCAGAAGAGGCTTCCTTCTGGGACGACGGCCATGCAAACCGACTTGTTGCAGTGTGTGGTGTATGGTCTGAGCACTGACAAGCGGACCTTCTGCTTCTGCAACCTCTAAAGCAATGCTGGCAGGACTCATGCGTCTGTTTTTTGAAGCCAGCTTCTGCACCTGACGGACAGCACGGGGACTCGACTTCTTTGACCCTTGCGAGGCCTGTTCCGAGTGGAACCCATCTTGGAAAACCTCTGTATGACCCTGGCCTGTACTGTAACTCAGTTTCAGGGTGTTACCAATCTTCTTATAGCCTAGGCTATCTTTGTGGAGAGCAGCAATTATAATTCTCAAATCCTTAGAGAGTTCTTGCCATGAGGTGCCATGTTGAACATCCAGTGGTCAGTATGAGAGAATTGTACTCAAAGCACAAATTTTAACTGCTCTAATACAAGATGCACAAATTTGTATGGTCCTGTCAAGCAGACAAAAACATGAAAATGATGAATAGTACATGTGGCTTTGCATGGTTAAACGACGTACAGCTATTATCACTTAGGGTGTACTCACTTTTGTTGCCAGCTATTTTGACAATAATGGCTATATGTTGAGTTATTTTCAGAGGACAGTAGATATATACTGCTATACAAGCAGCACACTGACTACTCTAAAATATATCCAAGTTTCATTTCTATAGTATTGTCCCTTCAGAAGATATACTAAAATGTGAGGGGTGTACTCACTTTAGTGAGATACTGTGTGTGTGTGTGTGTGTGTATATATATATATATATATATATATATATATATACACACACACACACATATACATATACACACACATACATACAGTCATATGTAAATGACAAAAAAGATCCTGTGTAAATGCATGTTTCGTGATATATGCTACATCAAAAGCTGAATATTCAGAGCAGTTAGAATCATTAGTAATGATTTAGTTTAGATATAGTGATGCATGACTTATGTATCATGATATGTGATTTATTCATATTATATTATTATTCAGCCACTCTGTACAGTATGTATGCTGAAATGGGTGTGGGATGAATAAAGGATGGTGAAATCTATGATTTTTATTCTAAGAATGATATTCATGCAGCATATCACATTATTATGTAGAAAGAGAGAAATCCATGTTGGATCTACGTACCCCCTGTTGACTCTGGCATTGGTTAGTAAAAAAAAAAGAAAGAAAGAGGACGAAGATTATATATTAGATTGAAAGGACAAAGCTGAGGTCCATTGTTCAGATCACTCCATCTTTTGTTCACTGATGTTTGAGGTTCTGTTCCAAAACTAGTGAGCTGCCAGCTGCCTTTCTAAGGGTGTGTTCACACTTGGCATGTTTGGTTCTATTAAAACAAACTCTGGTGTGATTGCTCTGTTAGTGCGGTTCATTTGAATAAATGTGAACGCTGCAATCCGAACCCTGGTGTGCACCGAATAAGTGGACCAAGACCCATCTTTTCAGTTCCAAATGGTGCGGTTTGACTGAAATATGAACGCAACATGGACCAAAGACAGGAAGTGATGTCACAAGATGCGACCCAAAAAGGACGAGCGCATTTAGCCCAGCAGTCCCGTAGCAAAATATGCCATAAAAGCCATTTTTTCGAACCAGAACTAAATGTATCATTTTCATAGGCGGAGGATGAACCAACTCCAGGATAAAGCTAAGGAGATGCGCTTTTCCTTTAAAAACACAAATAACAAATTTCCATGAAATAGTTTAAAGTTACATGTGACCGCACAACCTCCACATCCCAGCATAAACGCTCCTGATATCTTTTTTGGTTTGGATCAAAAGAACCAAGAGAAGTGAACTACAAGTGTGAACACACCCTAAGCAGGATGATAATAACCATAATGGTTAAGTACTCTGTGAAGCTCAATGGAGTTTGAATTTAGCATTTCTTCACTGAGCTGAAGGAACGAGTAGAAAACAATACGTACTTCTCCAAAAGTGCAAGTGCAGTGGAGGGGTTAACCCGCAGGTACTTTGAGGTGGGTTGTCCGTAGTCTGCCAGGTACGTGGACCAATCCCACACCATAAACAGATCTAGAAGCTTCAACACAGGAAACAGATGTTCCATATAAGCAATGAGTCAAGAACAGAACTTTGTGTGAACCAATAGAATAGGTTGTAAAACAATACTGAAGATGAATAAATGTCATTTGCATTTGTTTTCAGAAAGCATATTAATAATCATGGCTGTCACACATTATGACCAATGAATTTATACAATTATGAGTAATTTTATAGAGATTGCATACAGAACTCAAGCTAATTAAATATATCAGAGCTGAAAGTACTGAAAAATTGGAAAAAAGAAATCTAGATTGAAATGTATGTTTTTTTCAATATTTTATTTATTTGCATTATTTTTCCAGACCAGATATTTCTGATTTTTTCCATGTGAAAACCCTGATCACAAGAAACTAACAATATTAGAAGTGCAATATAAAAAAATAACTTGCAAAAACAACTAACAAATGTATAAAAGAAAGAGTCTATTATTTTGTGTTTTCTGAACAAGAATACTCTAAACATTTTGCTAACAAAAATTGCTTAATTGACTTAAATATTCGAGTATTTGTTCAAAACCGGTCTAAATGTTGTCCCAAATTGATTCATCTGAACAATGTTTTTTTGTTTTGTTAAGTATTACATATTTGATACATCAGGTTTAGGATCATATAGTATTATAGGATGAGAATATGGAGCTCATATTTAAGGAAGAAAAGATCACCTCTCAACTTTATTCAGAGACCCAAACCGAGCAAAAATATGGAATTTGGTGCCGTTTCTGATATTTAAATGGCAAAAAAAGATAGCTATTCTGATAGCTTGTAATATAAATCAATGAAAACTTTCTAACAGTAAAGCAACTATTTACATAAAATATAAGCTGTCACTCTCCCAATAATGTCTTATTAAGATGATATTCAAATGTCTAGATTTATGATTTAGTTTTAATCGTGGGGGCAAAACATATAAAGCAATGCAATATAGTGATGATTGAGAAATGAAGAAATAAACGTTCCTACTTTATATGGCCTAATTTATCATACTTGATACTTACATTTTAACATGATTTTTCTAAAAAATTATGTATGAATAATCAAGTTGATAAGTTGCTTCAGTCCAATAAGTGTTCATCTTGAAATATTACTAACAATATATAAACTTATTGCTACATTTACTTTGATTTTTGATTTTACAGCAAAAAATACAAATGTACGACAACCTGAAGGTTTTTTTTTTATTTTTATTTTTTTATTATACTAGGACTTGTACTTGTTTTCAGTTGTGAAGTTTCCTAATTTTTTTTTAGTCAAGTCGTCTTTTTATACAGTGCATAAAAATAAAAATCAGTCAGAAGTTGTCCAAAGAGAAGTGTGTGAGGTCATACACTAATGGTGGGGGTTAGTACTAGGGCACTTATTGGGGAGCTGGGAGCACTTTAAATGCAAAAGGAAGAGAAATCCCTCCGTGACCTCTAGATAACCCAAAGAGGAGCTAATCCTGGCTCCACGGTGCTCTGGTCAGTGGGCTCCCTGCCACTTTGCAACTCGGATTCAAAGCAAGGCTCTGGACACATTGAACTTAATTTGCTGGAGAAGGGCCAGATCACTCACCTCTATGTATGCAAATCAATATCAATCAATGGGGGACAATTCCTGGATGGCTCGTTCATTATGGAGGGCTGGGAGAGGAGGGTTCAGGGGGCTAATAGCACTTCACACCTACTATGTGGTCCGTATTGAGGAGGTCTGTTTTTCGGACCGTTATTTAGTGCTGTTTGCTGCTCCTGCTGGGCTGTGACAATATTGCTGCTAAACACACTAAGACCCTGTGGAGCATCATGGGCAACAAGACTATCTGCTAGTAAATGTCAATATATGCAGACTCTGAGCTGGGTGATATAGCTAAATCAATTGAACTTAAACTTATGCATTTTGTAGATGCTTTTGTCCAAGGAGACTTAAAGGAGAACTCCGGCGCAAAATGAACCTTTGGTCTAATAAAACATTGGTACCTAGTCAACCGTTCTCTGAGATTTGTTTTCATGATAATCGAATGTAAAGAGTTTTATCTCTAAAAACTGTTTAGCGTATAACGCTAGTAATGGGGGCATCTATTAAGTAAAAAGAAATCGCTAGATTATACCACTAACAAGACTCAAAATAGCCCCACACTAACACAGTAACATAATGAGGGTCCCTACATGCAAAACGAAGCATTGAGAACTTTGTAAGTGTACAGACCGTTTAATAAGATGATAAAGATAAAGACAGTCCACTTCGTGTATAGAGACAGGAGCCATCTTTGGAAAACAGTCTCGACTAATCAAACCACGAACGACGTGCTAAGTGAGCTGAACTGTATGAAGTTCAGTGAACTTCTGAACTGTATGAATGGCGTTCGTGGTTTGATTAGTCGAGACTGTTTTCCAAAGATGGCTCCTGTCTGTATACACGAAGTGGACTGTCTTTATCTTTATCTTCTTATTAAACGGTCTGTACACTTTTTAGAGATAAAACTATTTACATTCGATTATCATGAAAACAAATCTCAGAGAACGGTTGACTAGGTACCAATGTTTTATTAGACCAAAGGTTCATTTTGCGCCGGAGTTCTCCTTTAAACGTCAATCAAGGTATACGTGATTTGAGTTCATGCATTCCCTGGATATCAAACCAAGCTTGGACTGTTATGAATTAGATCTTGATGTTTTTCAGCCTTTTGAGAGTATCCGATAAACAGTGGAATCCCAAAGTTCGGGACCACACTCAAAATCTGGGATGCAAAATCTAATTTAAAGCTGAAAAAAAAAAAGTTTTAGGATTTAAAAATGGATATTAAAAAAAGAAAAGAAAAATATAATATTCTATCAAACATTCTATACATTGCTTCTGTGCCTTTATTTAGTACCATTATAATCCCAGTAAAGGGCATTTCTTCAAAAGATCTCACCGCTACTGATTCACGAGCCCAACATGACCTGACACAGTTCACAGTGAGTGTGAGAAAAGTTCACTTCTGAAAGTTTTAGTTGAAGATAATGAAGGGGGCATTTATTATTACAGTGATTTTGTAATGATTCAATGTTGTGTTTTTGATTGCCAATTGTTGCAAAAAGTACCTAGTAACTGGAAAAGCTGGACTAATAGAACAACTGCTCTATTGTTACACTACTAAAAAAGAGCAGCGTCGCTACTTTTAGTTACTTATTCGTGACGCCGGTGAAAGTGAAAACGGGCATGTTCAAAAATGTGCCTTAAGACATTTCAGTCTCTGTTAAGTGATGTGAACAAGTGAATTTTTTACCAGTATTAGTACAAGCATCTGCAGCCCTGCACAGTATCACCTTACAGACAACAAGGACTTAAGGAAATGTTTAAAACATGACAGAGTAAACACGAGTCTCCATTAGCCGCTGCGTGATTGGCAGGGACACTGTGACCTCTCTATTCGGTGTCGGCACATGCTCAAAGGAAAAAAAAAAAACGTTAGCTACGCCACGCCAGCCGGCGATAAGAGCTCTAGGGCAGATCTGCGTCATAATGTGTGATGGGAAGGTTATCTACGCTGGGTGTTGGGGTGAATAGGTAAATTCTGATCGCCAGCGCTCTGCTCTCCTTATCTCTGACCCTGTTCGAGCTCCGCTCCGTCCGAATTGGAGCCAGAGCTCACTGAGTGCACTTGAGAGAAGCTGTCAGCAAATCCTCCAAGAAACCAGGCGAGGATCAAAGCGGCGTCATGCTAATGGTAATCGAGAGGTCTTGGGGAGTGGCCGCAGTCGTGACACGCTGAAAGACGCCACTCCGACCAGAGATAAAACCAGAGCTGCGCGTTTCTTCATTTCCCATGAACAGGTGGTATATGTGATTCACAGGGAGGTTTGAAAATGAAGGGATAAATTCACTATAATTGTTTTCATAGCCTTCAATTTGCACATTGTTTGTAGGACAATGGTGGGCAGGATGTGAAATACATTTGTGTTAAATAAATACAGAAGATAAGGGTGTAACAATATGTCATGCCACAATATATCGCAATACAAAAATGCAACAATATGTATCGTGGATAGTGACAATCTGTGTTGGGTGTAGTTCACTCAAAATGAAAATTACTGTGTGAGAAAAAATTCAAGTTTACACAGTTTCAGTGTCAGTACTACATTACACTGCTATATACAGTATAATGCTCAATATAATGTATAATATTGCATTGGGGGATATTTGTGGGTCCTGATAATGCCAAATGTCTTATGTTACCAGTAAAAAGTGTCCTATATCATTTAAAAAATATCCAGCCAGTGACAAGCATAGGATATTCGTCTGAAATAATTCTGTATTTTCAGCTTCAGAATCATGAATAGTTTTATTCTGGTGTCACTATGGGCTATATGCACGCATAACTTCCGCGTTTGATGCAAGGATGCTCTTGCGTTTCCGGTTGGGGAGATTTAAAGCGGAGGAAAACCGAGGAAAACGGGATTATGGCAGAGTCTTCAAAATGTACTGTCCTCTCGTCTTTGAAGCGAAACTTTAATACGTTTAGATTTAATTTTATATATAGTTATGTTTATTTAATATAATAAACAAAGAAGCATAAACAACATGAGGGGTGTCTGTTTTGTCTGTTTTTGTGACTAACGTTTCTTTAGTATAGCAATAGAGTATAAAAACCAATATAAATTCTCGGTATAGCATTGGACTCTACGATCGGCGGAAGTAATCCAGCATCCTTAGACCTTCACCGGAAATACTGCCGTGCATAGAGCCCATTGTCCTGTGGATTGGGTTACCACCACCACGTCCAAGTCTATTCATTTCCACACTCAATGTAAAACCAAATTTAACATTTTAATCAACAGTACATTTTTTGTTAACATTTTACCATATTTCTTGGAGTCTCGCAATAATATTGTATCGTGAGTTCAGTATCGTGATATGTATCGATTCGTGACATGAGGATAACCTTATACCCCTAACAGAAGATACAATCCAAATAGAAAATACCAAGATATATTGTATATCACCATTCATCCAAGAAATACAGAGAAAATATTTTTGTTCTTGACTACTGTGCGTGCGATTTGAAGACACTGGCCTTTAGCTTTCAGAAGCCGTATAACGTCAAACGAGGTATTAGAAATCAGAGGGGATTTTCCAATTAGTAACGCCACTCCCTAATAATACTTCCTTCTATGACATAGCTTTGTAGAAGAAACCTTGACATGACCTCGGTTTACACCTTAAGCACCTCAGGCCCAGATTAAAAGTTCAAAATCCAAGCAGCACAAAAAAACAGGAGCAAACGGTGAAAAAGCATAATGAACCCCGCTGCGACTAAGTGATTTCCCCTCCTGAAGGTAAGAGTGTTCAGGTTGGGATAATCCATTAGTGCCTGTTAATGCTGTACCTTCTCCACCCTTCCCCTCAGCTCCACTCAAAAGGACTGTTGATCAAGAATAGTCATGTCTCCAGAGAGGTCTGTACCTGTCGCAGGTCAATGAAGGCCAACTGCAGCGTGTCGCCCTGGAATCCTGGCACGGGCTCTGAACTGGCAAACACTGCAAATGAAATACGAAAATATTTCATGTCAATATGGGTTATTGGAGCGAACAGTTGGAGGGCATCATGTAAATACAACAAATCAAACTCTTGAACGATGTTTACAAAGCATTTTTATTTCTTTAAAATGTTATCCATCTGGCTAAAGAAAGCCAACATACTGATCTACTATTTAAACGTCTTCTAGTTATTTTCTAACATTAACTCATCGTAAAACATTCAAATATCCTACAAACTCAGGTAAAACCTTCAGACTGAGCTTGTTTTTAGACTTGTGTTGCTGTATCTATATACACTCAGCTAAAGGATTATTAGGAACACCATACTAATACTGTGTTTGACCCCCTTTCGCCTTCAGAACTGCCTTAATTCTACGTGGCATTGATTCAACAAGGTGCTGAAAGCATTCTTTAGAAATGTTGGCCCATATTAATAGGATAACATCTTGCAGTTGATGGAGATTTGTGGGATGCACATCCAGGGCACGAAGCTCCCGTTCCACCACATCCCAAAGATGCTCTATTGGGTTGAGATCTGGTGACTGTGGGGGCCATTTTAGTACAGTGAACTCATTGTCATGGTCAAGAAACCAATTTGAAATGATTCGAGCTTTGTGACATGGTGCATTATCCTGCTGGAAGTAGCCATCAGAGGATGGGTACATGGTGGCCATAAAGGTCAGAAACAATGCTCAGGTAGGCCGTGGCATTTAAACGATGCCCAATTGACACTAAGGGGCCTAAAGTGTGCCAAGAAAACATCCCCCACACCATTACACCACCACCACCAGCCTGCACAGTGGTAACAAGGCATGATGGATCCATGTTATCATTCTGTTTACGCCAAATTCTGACTCTACCATCTGAATGTCTCAACAGAAATCGAGACTCATCAGACCAGGCAACATTTTTCCAGTCTTCAACTGTCCAATTTTGGTGAGCTCTTGCAAATTGTAGCCTCTTTTTCTTATTTGTAGTGGAGATGAGTGGTACCCGGTGGGGTCTTCTGCTGTTGTAGCCCATCCGCCTCAAGGTTGTGCGTGTTGTGGCTTCACAAATGCTTTGCTGCATACCTGGGTTGTAACGAGTGGTTATTTCAGTCAAAGTTGCTCTTCTATCAGCTTGAATCAGTCGGCCCATTCTCCTCTGACCTCTAGCATCAACAAGGCATTTTCGCCCACAGGACTGCCGCATACTGGATGTTTTTCCCTTTTCACACCATTCTTTGTAAACCCTAGAAATGGTTGTGCGTGAAAATCCCAGTAACTGAGCAGATTGTGAAATACTCAGACCGGCCCGTCTGGCACCAACAACCATGCCACGCTCAAAATTGCTTAAATCACCTTTCTTTCCCATTCTGACATTCAGTTTGGAGTTCAGGAGATTGTCTTGACCAGGACCACACCCCTAAATGCATTGAAGCAACTGCCATGTGATTGGTTGATTAGATAATTGCATTAATGAGAAATTGAACAGGTGTTCCTAATAATCCTTTAGGTGAGTGTATATATATATATACACTCACCGGCCACTTTATTAGGTACACCTGTCCAACTGCTCGTTAACACTTAATTTCTAAGCAGCCAATCACATGGCGGCAACTCAGTGCATTTAGGCATGTAGACATGGTCAAGACAATCTCCTGCAGTTCAAACCGAGCATCAGTATGGGGAAGAAAGGTGATTTGAGTGACTTTGAACGTGGCATGATTGTTGGTGCCAGAAGGGCTGGTCTGAGTATTTCAGAAACTGCTAATCTACTGGGATTTTCACGCACAACCATCTCTAGGGTTTACAGAGAATGGTCCGAAAAAGAAAAAACATCCAGTGAGCGGCAGTTCTGTGGGCGGAAATGCCTTGTTGATGCCAGAGGTCAGAGGAGAATGGCCAGACTGGTTCGAGCTGATAGAAGGGCAACAGTGACTGAAATAACCACTCGTTACAACCGAGGTATGCAGCAAAGCATTTGTGAAGCCACAACACGCACAACCTTGAGGCGGATGGGCTACAACAGCAGAAGACTCCACCGGGTACCACTCATCTCCACTACAAATAGGAAAAAGAGGCTACAATTTGCAAGAGCTCACCAAAATTGAACAGTTGAAGACTGGAAAAATGTTGCCTGGTCTGATGAGTCTCGATTTCTGTTGAGACATTCAGATGTTAGAGTCAGAATTTGGCGTAAACAGAATGAGAACATGGAACCATCATGCCTTGTTACCACTGTGCAGGCTGGTGGTGGTGGTGTAATGGTGTGGGGGATGTTTTCCTGGCACACTTTAGGCCCCTTAGTGCCAATTGGGCATCGTTTAAATGCCACGGCCTACCTGAGCATTGTTTCTGACCATGTCCATCCCTTTATGGCCACCATGTACCCATCCTCTGATGGCTACTTCCACCATGTCACAAAGCTCTAATCATTTCAAATTGGTTTCTTGAACATGACAATGAGTTCACTGTACTAAAATGGCCTCCACAGTCACCAGATCTCAACCCAATAGAGCATCTTTGGGATGTGGTGGAACGGGAGATTCGCATCATGGATGTGCAGCCGACAAATCTGCGGCAACTGTGTGATGCCATCATGTCAATATGGACCAAACTCCCTGAGGAATGCTTCCAGCACCTTGTTGAATCTATGCCACGAAGAATTGAGGCAGTTCTGAAGGCAAAAGGGGGTCCAACCCGTTACTAGCATGGGGTACCTAATAAAGTGGCCGGTGAGTGTATATATATATATATATATATATATTTGTAACTGATCAGACTTCAGGTTTTCCAAAACCAGACGATCGATTGAATGATGATAAATTTTTGGAAAACCATGGATGGCTGGATGGCTGGATGGACGGACGGACGGACGGATGGAAACTTTGATGTTGGTTCAAAAAGATAGTTAGTCAGTCAGTTAGATTTGATCAACTTGTTTTGGAAAACCATAATTCTATATTCGATATTAGTTAGTTGGTTCGTTTGTTATATTTGATCATCTGTTGTTGGAAAACCATGGATCATCAAAAACAGATGATCAAAGATAAAAAACAAACTAACCAACTAACTAACTAACTAACTACTACTACATATAGAAATATGGTTTACCAATTGATTAAAACTAACTGAGTGACTAACAATCTTTTTTAACCACCATCAAAGTTTGTTTAAAGGCTTTACCATCTAGTTTTTTTTATGAAATTAAAATCATATGAGAAAAAAGACAACAAAGCAAAACTAGCACAACTATGTAGAAGATATGTCAATTATTCAGATTAGGCGAGAACTTCTGCAAGAATCTCTAACCACTGAATGCTGGATCAACAATCAAATTATGAGATGAACAGTTGTGAGACAGTGATCGACATGTACACAGCTAGCACAGATCATTTCCTCAGAGGTTTTTATGGTAACATATAGACAGACCCACTATGAGCACTGAGATTAATCAATAGTCAATCATTATATGTTCATATGCACTTGAGCTTCAGTAAGTTTGCACATAGTTGAGCTGCAGTCTTCACCTGTCTATCCAAGTATACTTGATGCAAAACTTTGCAAAATCATGCTCAAGAGGACCCAGGTTTGAGTCTGATTTAGGTCATATCTCAAAACCCATGTCCCCTCTGTTCCTCCACTTTCCTGTCAACTATCCACTGAGTCACTATATAGTCAAATAAATAAAAAAATCAAACAAATCAGACTGTACACTCACAACATGGGAAAAGTATTTCTGTAGGTGTATCTTAACTCTTGTGTTTTGACTAGCGTAAGATGAACTGCCGCTAATGGGACGAACACCATTCAGACCTTAGAGAAGGGTCAGGCGATCCCTGGCGTACCTGTGCAGTTGAACCCTCACAAACTCTACTTCACCCTGAGACATCTGTGACCCGAGGCCACAGGTACGAGCACGCACACACCGCCTTTTCACTTCTGCTGACAGTGATGTAGCGTGACTGAAACCTTAAATGGTCGAGGAGCAGAAGATCCGATGCTAGAACCAAAGAGCTGTCTACATATTAACATTATTGATGAACACTTTGCTCTGACATCTCTATTGTGCCATTTAGAACTAAAGGGGCTTATGTGCTTCCCCAGGGAGATATTCAAGAGATGAAACCTCAACAAGATCAGGTTCTGCATTTCACAAAAAAATTGAGACTATCGTAGAGACTTTGGACTTGGGACAGTGTCATTTTAAGGTCAACCCCACTAGTGGTCGAGTGTACTCAAAATGGACTCAAAAATGTACATATTTGTAATATATATCTGAATTTACATTACAAAATAACCTATGGTCTTATTCTCACCAAGGCTGCATTTATTGGATCAAAAAACAGTAAAAACTCTAATATTGAGAAATACTTTCAGAATTTAAAATAAACGTTTTCTATTTTATTACATTTTACAATAAATGAAAATAAAATCTCGCAAGCCATTCGAACTTGCTGAATCATCACCTTGTTTCCATCAACAGTAGCGAACCGTCGTGTTTTAAAGCTATTTAGTGATTCAGCAAGTTCAAGTGGTGTGCGGGATTTTTTTAAACATTTTTTGGTTTTCGTTGTACATTTAATCGACGCACCCGCTACAGGTTTGGGTGTGCAAGGCATTATATTTTTTTTACATTATATTTTACAATGTAATTTATTCCGGTGATGCAAAGCAGAATTTTCAGCAGCATTACTCCAGTCTTCAGTGTCACATGATCCTTCAGAAATCATTCTAATATGCTGATTTGCTGCTCAAGAAACATCTTGAAAAACAAGAAATTTCTTATTATCAATGTTGAAATGTAACATCTTAATGTCACTTTAAAAAACAAACATTTAATGCGTCCTTGCTGAATTTAAGTATTCATTTCTTTCAGAAAACATCTCAGTGTGTGTTCCACAGACTACAGTTTTGTCATATGGCTTTGAAACAGCATTAAGATGTAAATTATTTTTCTTTTTGGGTGAACTATTACTAATATGAGTGGGTATTGCATGAAAATAGAATGAATGTTGACTTAAGTGACTAATGTTGCACTAAACGGTTCCATATCAGTTCGTATCAGAACATGTGTGGATTTCTAAGAGCAGGTGGAGTGCGGGTAATCAGGAATCTTCCTTGAAAGTTTATAACTAAGATAACTGCTTCTGAGAACAGCTGATAATATCAATAATAGCTGCTGCATGAGTGCATCTACCGCCAAGCTGCGCTTCACAGAGCAAGAAACCGACATGCCTTCCTGTTAATGTATTAGCCATACTCTGATTTGAAAATGGTTTCTGGTGAAGCGCAAACTTTTAATTTCAGAATGGACACATTTTGTAGGGGATCTGTATAATTAATGAATTACAACAGAGGGGAAGATATATTAAAAACGGCTTCAGACGACTGAAAATTTAATATGGAGGTATTTTATGGTTCTTTTATAGTGTACAAGGGCTGGGAATGACAAGAGGGTAAATAACTTCATTATTGGGCTAGCTGTTGAAATGACGTGGCGCTGGCATTGTAAATATGCAATTATTAACTACTCACGTTCACACTGTATGACGTCCAGGTTGAACTGCTGAATGGCTCCCATGCTGATTTGTTTGAGCTCAGTATCCAGCAGCATCTGCATCAGCGATGTGGCCAGGTGTTTACAGGCGGACATACACGACGTCTGCGCCACCTTACCCTGAGGAGCGGCACACAAACACACCAACAAACCGTTACTACAGGTGTCCTCTTCTACACACGGCAACAGTGTTGGGATCAATGTCTTAATGAATTCATAGTATGAACTTGAAACTGTCTCTGAATAGCTGGTTCACCCTTTTTCTTAAGTATTCTTCTTTTTCTTAGACTACTGTTCAGAAGGTTGTGGGCGGTAAGATTTTTAATGTTTTTGAAAATAGTCTCTTATGCTGACAACGGCTGGATTTATCAAAAATACACTAAAAACAGTAATATTGTCAAATAACTGTTTTCTGTTTGAATACATCTAAGCAGCACAGCTGTTTTTCAACATTGATAAGAAGAAATGTTTCCAGAGAATGATTTTTTGAAGGATCAGAATAGTTTTTTTAAGTTTAGTCTTTGCCATCACAGGAATACATTACATTTTAAAATAAATTCAGATAGAAAACAGTTATTTTGAATTGTAAAAAATATTTGACAATATTGCGGTTTTAACTGTATATTTGATCAAATAAATGCAACCTTGCTGATCATAAGACTTCTTACAAAAAACATATTAATAAATTATTATTCTAGATTTGTATATATATATATATTGACTGCTCATTTCCATATAATGAAAGTGAATGGGGAATGGGTCTGTCAAGAACTAAAAAGACAAAAAAGAACATAAAAGTTGCCCATATGATTCATACTCTAAATTTTAAGTCTTATGTCAAAATATAGCTTTGTATGATGAACAGACTGAAATTTAAGCCCTTAACCCTTATACATTTATGTTAATTTTTGTGTCATTTTGTGTCACATAAAACTTGGCGGCTCTAGTCACCATTCTCTTTCATTGAATTTTTTAAAGATCGGCCTGGATATTGTTAAAAAATTTCACCTTTTGTGTTCCACTAAGGACAGACAATCATCTGGGTTTGAAACAACGTTTTGGTGAGTAAATACTGACAGAAAAGGTGAACTATTTTTGGGTGAATGTATGAAAGTAAGCATAGCGATAAGTGTATTTTGATTAATTTCCAAATATATACCATAATTCATCATATCCTTAAACAACCTATAATCAGTGGACGACGTAATGGCACAACATGGAGATGACACAGGCCTTCCAACTCTTGAAAATCTCAAGTTTTAATTCAGAAACGCACACAAAAACACACAGTAACAAGTCTCATATCTGAAGCAGTCGCTCATGCAAGCCGACGCGGCTCATAATCAGCAGGGTTGTAAAGAGGAAAGAGGTGAAAGACCAGTCAAACTTGGCAATAACAGACGTCAAACACTCAAACACACGTAAAACTCATGCAACAGCTGCTCCACCAGTACATGCTGACAACTAGCAGAGAAATTAATAAACAATTCCATTTGGTTATTCTACCCAAAGCAAAAAATGCAAACAAAGCTCTCCACAAAAAACAAGCCTGTCATTATCATGTTATCACATGTTAATATCCATTAGACACATCACAGATCGCTATAAACAAGACTAAATATGTATTATTTTGTGTGTAAGCAACATACAAAAATTAAGCACCACATTGAACAACCAATTCCATTTAACAAACATATGCATAATTAAAAAACAAAAAGCCTAAAACTTCAGAACGCTCCGATCCTCAAAAATCCAAGTACATTCCTCTTTATTTCTAGAGATTCATGTAAACAATGAAAATCGAGGCCCTGTAAAACATAACATTTCATCCTTGAAAAGATGATTTTTGACAAAAAATAAAACATTGTGTCCTAACCAGAATGACATAATGCCAGAACATACTTTATGTTGAATATATAGTTATGTGAAGCAGGGTTGATATAGTTAACTAAAAACCATACCATGATTTCAAAATATTTATTAAAAAAACAAAGTGGACCTTTGGACCAATGAGATATAACTGTGGTTGGGACCAATCACAACACACCAGATATAAAAACCAAGCGATCAACAAAATATCTTGTCATTTGTCGCATCCCATCGTGTTGCGAATGGTTTTATTTAAGCATGAGCTGAACAGCTATCTTGTTTTAAAAGCCCTTTATGCTGTGCTCACATCTCTTTCAACCACAAATGCAATTGTTAACGGCCTATATTTATACTAAGTTTGCTTATATTAGTGAATTAGAGTGAATTAAGTTAGCTGCGCTAACATACAGATTATGTTACATCTAAGTATACTTGTTAAAGGTAATGACGTACAGCTGTCCTGATAGTGTAGTAGGTTATAATGTTTCATTATGCAGCATTAATAAAGCAGCATTCTGATTTGAGACGCACTCATTGTTGAGACTATCCTCTTAAAGGGACAGATCAGACAAAATGAAATTAAAACAGCGCGAAACACAATAGAAGATATTTAGAAAAATGTGCTTTTGTCCATACAATGAAAGCCAATGAGGTCCAGTGTTGTTCAGGACCTCATTCACATTCATTTTATGGGAAAACTGTTATTCAAAATATTTTCCTTTGCATTCCAAAGAAAGTAAGTCAGGTTTGGAATGGCATGAGGCTGAGAAAATGGTGACCGAATTTTTGGGTGAACTGTCTTTTTAAATACTGGTACTAGTGAATCTCAAGTAAGAATGGCATGTGTGTTCTGCAGATACTGGTATCAGCTTCAGACAATCATGGGCAGCAGATCAGGGGTAGCATGCCAAATGATCTGCTTTACATTCTGCATTACACGTGAAAAGGGAGGCAAAACAAGGTTGGCAGCAAGTCCACAGAGCTGACATGAACATGCAGTTTTAATGTCTTTTTTTTTTGTTGCTTTTGAATAATTGTAATTTTTCTGTTCCTCCTCTACAGTTCGAAGAGGGTCTACTTACCGACATTGCAGCATGATCATTGTTGTTATTCTGAGCGGAAACCCCAAGAAAATAAAACACGGACAGGGAAAGAAAGTATAGCGATAATAAATGGACAGACAAAGGAAAATCAGAAATACCAAGCATGCCTGGCAGAAAATAAATCAAAGGATACATTCACTTACAGGAAATATGTTACATTGTTGAGAAACCAAAGCATAACCAACTTAAACTGGAGGTTAAAGCAATTTGTTTAAGAGGACAGTGCAGCTGAAGAAAAACGCAAGCAAGCAGTATCGTTCTGTTTTAATGGATGAGTTGGGAGTTATCTGTGCTGATTATGTGAAGGAATATACAGAGATTAGACTGGGTTTGGGAATGGATGTCTTTTTGAATATTATATTTGTGTAACGACACCTATAACACCAAACACTACATTCCTGTGCGCTTATGTTAAGATTTACACCTAATGTCAAACAATGGAAACTAGAAAATGTGTCATTCTGGAGGGATACTAGAACATCTGCCCAGTTGTGACCATCTAAAAAGCTAAAAATGCAACATTGTTTGACGCCACACATGCAATAACACACATTACATGAACCCACAGGTGGAGAATGATCACAGAACAATGACGAGACTGCGTGTGAATAGGATGACGTGGAACTCACCGGAAGGTGCGTGAAGACCTGGAAGGTGCTGCGCAGGAAGTTGATGAGGTCCATGAGGTATCCGCTGGCCCTGCCGTCCGACTCCGACATGCCCCATTCGTAATCAGCAAGCTGAATGAACTCATCGATCTTCTGATTGAGTTTAGTGTATATCTCTCCTTCAGCTGCGTGTCTGGCATCCTAAAAATAAGAAACCATGCATTTAACTTCATCCGGATTTGTACAAACACTGGCACAACCAATTGCATTCTGGAATGCTTTTAAACAGTATTGAAAGATTCATTTTGCAACCAATACACGTCTGCTTTTTTGTTTAAAGGGGTGGTATAATGCCCTTTTCACAAGATGTAAAATAAGTCTTTGATGTCCTCAGAGAGTGTATGTGAAGGTTTAGCTCAAAATATCCCACAGATATTTTTATATAGCATGTTAAAATTGTCACTTTATGAGGGAGAGCAAAAACGCACGTTTATGTGTCTGTCCCTTTAAATGCAAATGAGCTGCTGCTCCCGGCACAGAGGGCGGAGCTACAACAGCTCGTTCTTAGCAGCTTCGATTACCTCACGCAGATATGCACTGAAAATCTCAGAAACTTTTAGCCTTTTATGTTCAAACCAGAGTAAGACAAAGATGGAGAGACTCAAGAAGAAGAGACAACATATAGACAACATTGATGAATTTATGTAGCTTATGTGTAGTTATCTTCTGGTCATTGATTATCTATAAATCGTGTTCCGGGGGGCAGGGTTTATGTAAATTTTAGGGTTCGTGATGTCACTAACCCGGAAAGAAGCTACTTAAGAAGTAGAGAAGTAGTCCCTACCAGCCGTTTGTTGTTGTCCTTAAAAAGCAATTTCTCTTAAAAAGCTATTTCAATTTCTTAAAAAGACCATTTCTCCCTTTGCTTTGAACTTTGAGCGTCGTAACTTTGCAGATGTTGTTTATGCTCAAACGGCAACATTACACACTAACTAAAGTTAGAAAAGGGAAATCATAATCAACCACCCCTTTAACTTTTCATGCTACAATCAAACATATTGGTTTCACTTTATTTTGATGGTCCCTTTAACACATTCTGTTGACTATAAATAACATTGCAACTCTCATTAGAGTGTTAGTAGAGTATTACTAGACTGGTAGGGTTAGAATAAGTTGAAATGTAGATGCAAAGTTTCTTATAGTCAGTAGAATGTCTGTTGGGGAGCATCACAATAAAGATTTTGCAGATATTAAGCAGACAGTCTACTAACACTCTAATGAGAGTTAGTCGACATGTAGTTACAAAGTTACTTATAGTCAACAGAATGTTCTAAAGGGACCATCAAAATAAAGTGTTACCAACATATTTTGCATGCATATCAAATGGTACACATTTTGTGGATCTTTAATGGTAAAAAAAAATTCAAATGCAACTCCAAGATGTAAAACAACAAAATGTAGAAAAGGGGGGTTAATACTTATGCAACACATTAACTTAAGCAATGCCAACATGCTGCTGCGTGCTCAATGACTCAAAAAGAGGTCACCTGATAACACCTCCGTTTAAATACATTTAACACACTGGCATCAAAACAAGCTCTTTATGAAGTTCATGAAGCCCGAGGCGGCTCCTGTCCCATGCTGTTGATGACAGCTTTACTTTGAGCGCACTGCTCCAGACGGCTGATCTCTGATCAGAGTGTGCCCATGGCGGTAATACGAGTGAGTGAAATGTGTAATTAAAGAACATGTCTGTAAATGACTTTACCTTGAAGGTGGAAAGCCCATAGAGTCTTGTGGTGTGAACTGTTTCCGGGGAAACATTGGTGATGTTTGTGATAAAATCCTCCAGGTATTTACACGCGTGCTCTAAGTGCGTGGTGTTGATGATAATTTGAACAAGCTGCAAAACACAACAGAAAAAAGCCGTATGTTATTTTCACACTGGGCTTTGCAGAGAGAATAAGTCATTGCATCAACTCTACCTCCGTTAATCCTATGTGCGGCTTTTTGATGAGGTTTTGCAAGCAGCTGCTCAACGTCCTCGTCAGCAGAAGGTTGGTGGATTTACGGAGCATGTCGTCAATCTCGGTTGAGCTGAAACACAAGTTAACCAAGAAATACGTTCAATCATTGCACTCTAATCCATAGTTTTGGCAAGCTTTCTATCCACATTGTTCCTGACGAGCCTACTGTGTTTTGAATTATGGGTGGCACTTTCGATTTGGGGAACTTCCATTCATAAAGACTGAAAATCATCAGGTTTCCCAACAAATAAAGCTGAATCCATCAGTTTGACTGAATGAGCTGTCAATTCTCCTTCATGTTTTATTTCCAGACATCATGAGAAAAACGTAACACTTAGTATTTTAACGTGACATGTTATAACAAGAATATCTTTGGCAAGAGCTCTTTTCAGTCGCTGTATTCTTTTCATCAAGATTATTTTCTTTTTGCCCCTTTGCATTCCATTGTAACTGTATGAAAAAGGACAACATACTGCACATTTGTTCTCCCGCACATTTGTTCTCATACTTCACAAATGTGCAGTATGTTGTCCTTTTTCATACTATTACAACGGAATGCAAAGGGAAAAAAGAAAATAATCATGATGAAAAGAATACAGCGACTGAAAAGAGCTCTTGCCAAAGATGTGTTCTCCCAATTTAATTTACGATATATCCCGATATATGATATATCCCCCATTAATAATTCACCAGAATCCACAAAGAATCTCTCGTTCTTTCCAGTTCTCTTTCCAGTTTTGTTTTCACGGGTAAATACAATTTATTAACTGTCAAAATGACGGAAGTCACTTCGAAATAGTATCACGCAATGGCAATGCTGAAGTTAATGAACATTTTTGATTAAGTAAGCAATGTTCCATAATACAGATATATATATATATATATATATAACTAAAGTGACATTTAATCTGTCCGTTATTTCTGTGGAAAAAATCACGTTTCTGGGGTTATTTATGGTCTGTTGAAAGTACCTTGTTAATGCTTTTACACTTTTAAATGTCCTTTTAATGTTCGATGGTTTAAGGGGGAGTAGAATAATGTCATCTTTGTACCAAGATTTAAAAAAAAAAATATTATTGCGTTCATAGAGCGAGCCTTTTCACGGATTGTTTACTGCTTAACGGAAGTTACACCCATAATTCGCGCAAAGCATCATGTGGCGTAGGAATAAGGTGGATACAGGATACTTTTTAAAATCATGTCTTGTTCTATAATTGGGGGTACATTTATATATATATATATATATATACATATATATATACACATATATGTGTGTATATATATATATATATATACACATATATGTGTGTATATATGTATGACAGGGAAAGAAACCAGTGTCCTTGTTTATACGTCCATTAGGACTACTCTTTATGAAGGTGTCGGATTTGACCAAAAAGTCTCTAGTCTAATGTTTCTCGCTCTCTAATGTGAAAGAGAGGCGGATCCGCAAAAAGACTCTCCCCACTGAATCACACTTAAGTATATACCAATGTTTTTTAATCACATTCTTGATCGCTTGACTGTGTGCAGAATAAGTAGTGGTACAAACTTCTTTGTCTTTGATCCCTAGCTGGCGCTTGGTCTGGATTGGCTCCTAACCCCGTACGCTGCTGTGGGTGCCAATGGTTGTCGAATCTCATTCACGAGGCGTTTCCATGCGGGACGATCCAAGGCGGTCGTTTTGGCGTCGTCGATATTTAATCTGCGATTTATGATGTCCTCCTCAACCTGTTTGAGCCACGTTTTCTTTGGTGCCGTTCGCTGGATTCTCCACTGGGAGGGTCGGTTACGCCAGAGGAGTTGGTGTGGTAGTCGGCTCCCACTCATTCTGCAAACATGGCCAAACCATCGCAGTCGTCGTCTTTGGATTTGTTCCTCGATCAGTGGTTGTTGGCATCTGCGCCGGATGTCCTCATTTCGAAGGCGATCTCGAAGTGATACTCGCAAGATCTGGCGCAGGCATCGCATTTGGAAAGCTTCGAGTTTGTTGAGGTCCGCCTTCAGCACCGTCCACGTTTCGGATATGTAGAGTAGAATCGGCAGGATTAGCGTCCGGAATAGGTGAATTTTGGTCGCGATGGAAATATTGGTTCGCTTCCACAGACACCACTTTAGCGAGGCGAATGCTGCGGTTGCTTGGCCAATTCGACTGTGGGTCTCCGCCGTAGACGCAACTTTCTTCTCTTCAATCAGTAAGCCCAGGTATTTGAACTTCTGAACTTGCTCAATCTGGATGCCGTCAAGGTGGACGTTGGCCGGCGATCCATCTGTTGTCATTACCTTCGTTTTGACAATGTTAATTTTCAAACCATATGATTGGGCAACGCGGGCGGTCTCGTAGAGAATGTCCGTGGCTTCGGCATCGTCCTCGGCCAGCACGCCACTGTCGTCGGCGAACATAAGATCTGTTACTGATGAGCCATTTTCGTCGAACTGCACTCCTCGCCTACCCTCGAAGACTTTCTTCATGATTGCATCGACAACGATGTTGAAGAGCAGTGGTGAGGCGACGTCTCCCTGGCGGACTCCAGTGCGAATGGTGAATTCCGCAGATAGCTCGTTTCGGATGCGTATTTGGCTTGATGATCCATTGTAGTTTTCCTGCAGGAGCTTGATGACTTTCGGTGAGATGTGCTCGGTCTCCAGCGTCGTCCAAAGTGCTGGACAGTCGCTGCAGTCGAAGGCGGATCGAAAGTCGATGAAGACGATGACCGTCCGCTTTCCACATCGAATTTGCTCTTACATCACCTGGTGGAGACTGAATATCTGGTCACAGCACCCCTGTTGCGGTCTGAAGCCGGATTGCTCCTCTCTACTCGTTTGCTCATGGTGTTTCTGCAGGCATGCTTGGATAACTTTCATGAAGACCTTGCCGACGATCGAGAGCAGACTGATGCTGCGGTAGTTTTGGCATTCCCGATTGTCACCTTTCTTGAAGATCGAGATGATGATGGCCTTCTTCCATGTCGTTGGTATTTTCTCCGTACGCCAGATGTTTTGCAGGAGAAGGTCTACTCGCTGGAGAAGAACGTCGCCACCAGCCTTGATTGCTTCTGTGGTGATCGCATCCACACCAGGCACTTTGGCATTTTTCAAAGTCCGGATGGCCGCCTTTACCTCTGCGAGCGTCGGTTCGGCATCGGACATCGCGGCCTCTGGTGGCTCGATTTGTGGCGGCTCCGCCGGGGGTCCTTGCGGTGGGTCGTGATTGTACAACGTTTCGAAGAACTCCCTCCAACGTTGTAGACGCTCCGTCGATGATCGCACAAAGGTGCCCTCGGCTTTTCGGATGTTGTCGTTCGTTGATTTAGCCTTCCCGGTCAGTCGTCGGAGGGTTCGATAAAGCGTGTGGTACTCGTGCTTCGAGGCCGCCACCTCCAAGTCAGCTGCTACTTGGTTCCAATAAGCCTCTCGTTCTTCTTTCATTCGGCATCGGACGTCCTTGTTGAGCTGGCGGTATCGCTCGAATGCTCTACCATACTGAGACACTCATCCGATATCCATGGCTGTGTTCGGCGACGGGCGGGAGGGCACAGTTCCTTTGCGCATTCCATGATGGCATTTGAAAGCTGTTGTTCTTCGACGTTGACGTCTTCAGATGGAGCCAATGCTGCGAAACGGTTGGATAGTGCTATTTGGAATTCCGTCTTGCGAACGGGATCCAACAAGCATTTCCAGTCTAGCTTGGCTGATGGACGCGATTTGCATTTGGTTCTGTGTAGTCGAAGCTTGATCACAGCGCGCACGAGGTAGTGATCCGATCCACAGTCTGGGCCGCGCATCGAACGGACGTCCTTGAGTGATGATCGGAAACAAGAGTTGATCAGGATGTAATCCAACATCGCGGAGTCGTTGCCCGCTGGATTACGCCACGTAAGTTGGTGTTTCTTTGGATGTTGGAAGTGGCTATTCCCAATGATGTAGCTGTTGGCGCTGGCTAAGGACAAGAGGCGCAGACCATTATCATTGATCACACCGTGTCCTAAACGACCCATTGTGTTCTCCCAGCCAGATCGATCAATGTGGGCGTTGAAATCTCCAGCCAATATGATCAGTTCGGTCTGCGGAATCGAGTCCAACGTGAGTTGCAGTTGGTTGTAGAAATCGTTTTTGGTCGGGTCCGGGTTTGTCTCGGTCGGTGCATAGATGGCGACAAGGTGGGTTTTGGTGGTGCCATTGATGGTAAGGACCGCGAGTCGATCAGAGATCGGCTGGAACGAGACGACACTCCCGACTGCGCGGCGGCCGGCGGGCAACCATGAATCCGACTCCCGCCTCTCATTTTTCACCACCAGAGTAGTATAGTGTCATCTGGTCGTCGATGCTGGGCAGATGGTCGTTGAGCCGCCATCTATCGACGACCAGATGACACTATACTACTCTGGTACAAACTACAGAATGGGACTTCTTTTGTTTGTCCGATATATAGGACGATTCTCCTACTTTCTCCAAAGCTGATTCTACACTGCATATACGCTTCAGTCGAAGAAATTGGGTATAGGGTGGGTAGCCCTTTTTTTAAAATAAGATGGATGAACACTTGCTGCATGGAGAATACTATTTTTATCCGTTGGTTTGGAATATAAAGAGGTCGATAACGTACCGGATTCAAATATAACTCTAGTATCAAGGAAAAGGACAGAATGGGAATCAATTTCCACATTGAACTTAATAGAATCCACTATATTATTAAAAAAATCAACGAATTCATCAAACAGATGTCTTGAGCCCCTAAAAATACAAAATACATCATCCACATATCGCTTCCACATAACAATATTATATAAAAAATGGATATTATTCCAGATGTATCTCTCTTCTAAATATCCCATGAATAGGCAAGCATAATCCGAAGAAAATTTGGACCCTGTTTTTGTAAATAGTATTTATCCTCAAAATGGAAATATTTTTTTTCTAAAAGTAAAGTGATCATCGCATTCAAAAGGAGGGGATTTCTCAGTTCTTTGATTTAAGAAATGTTTCATCGCCACTAAACCTTACCTATGAGGAATGTTAGTGTATAATGAGACCACATCCATAGTTGTTAAAAAAAATATATATATTATTGGGTTCTTCCCCTTCTATATTAATTCCAGATAATTGTATCAAGAAATCACCAGTGTCTTTTAGATATGATGGGAGATGTTCAACCAAAGGTCTTAAAATACGATCTACATATGTGATTTAGGTTCCAGTAAACTTTCATTGGAAGCTATAATAGGGCGCCCCGGGGGCTTATTCACAGATTTATGTACCTTAGGTAGAGCATACATAACAGGCATCACAGGAAAATCATTAGTCAGAAATTTGAACTCCGATTGATTTATAAAACCCTTTTGATGTGATTTAAGTAAAAACATTTCAACCTCCATTTTAAAAGAAATGGAAGGATCACTATCCAGTTTCATATAATATGTAGCATCAGACAATTGAGATGTCACTTCAGAGATATAATCCAATTTATTCATCAAGAATAAACCACCATCTTTATCAGCTGGTTTCCAAACCACATCAGATTTCCTTGATAATTCAGTTAAAGTCCGACGTTCCTTAAATCCATAATGATCGTGTGTGAGACATTTCAAGATATTTTCAATCTCCTTATCAACCATGTTACCAAATGTATCGATTTTGGAGTTGTTAACCACAGGACAAAATACAATGCGTGGACGTAGAGGTTGTTTAGTATTGACCGACGTGTATTGTCTTTGAGAACTGTCCTTATGAAAAGAATACTCAAGTTTGATAAAATCGAGATTTTATAGATCTAAGTTGAAAGGCATCGGTAAGTGTAGGAGGAACATAAGACTCATAAGACATAAGTTGCTCCTCATCAGTACCTAAGGGGATGGTAGATAAGTTAAACACTAGACTTTGGTCTTGTACATCCTTTTCCTTCTCATGGGTCGAGTGTCCACTTTTTCTTCCCCTTCTGGGGAACATTGGCCTATATTCGTGTGCGGATCTTTTTTCTGATTTTTGATTTCCTTTAGAAGATATTACTCATCAGTTTGGGACTAATGTTTGGCGCTGCGCCTTTCCACCCCCTTGACTTATGAATTTGCACATGGTTTGTCTTAAAGCATATTAAAAACACAACATAAACAGAAACTATAAAAACTTAGACTAACTTTTTTTATTCACCATTTTAAACTTGAGACTTCAAAAATGGACACTGCAAAAAACTGTTATTTAGGGTACATCAAGGCAATTTCAAGCAAACTGATATTAATATTTGTGTGAGATAATTTGCTTTCCCTTAATTGATAAATTAGATTTTTATGAAGACAATTGTTTAAAATATGTAATTATCATCAATAGACATGAAAATGTACCCTAAATTGTAGAATGACCATTATTTAATTTATTACAGCTCTCTAGAATAAATTATTTTGATTGTTCAGTTGCAGCATTCTGTTGTCGAATAATTTTGTATGACAATAAATTGAATGTTTTACCAGGCCGCTGATTTCCTACATAACTGTGCTAGTTTTTAAATCAACCACAACACTTAAGACTCTTTCTTCTGACATAATGAAATCGTTTATATTCAAAACAACATTTCATGTCCATTTATTTATTTATTTGGTAAGTAGACAAGGAATTTAGCTTGTACTTCAGAAAGAGAGAGTAAAATGTAAAAATTGAGTAGCAATGTAGTGTTTTGTTGTGCTGCACTGCTACTTGCCAGACAAATTATCTTGCTAACCGAAAGCTATATTGTTTTAAAACCAACTGAGAAATGTAAAAAAAAAAAAAAAATTGCATGGCTACTTTGGGTTAGTTACTCCCCAAAATGACTTTCTTCTGTGGAAGGCAAAATACTTTTTATATAATATAATATATATAATAACAGTTTTTATATAATAACCTTTTTTTTTTTACATTGGACCCCATTCACTTTCATTGCATAGACAAAAAAATTTTCGTTCTTTTTTTGTTCTACAGAAGAAATCTCTTTAACCAAGCATAGCATGCTTGCCGTCTGCACCCATCAGTGTTGACCGGGTCCACAACTAGCCCTACTGCTGCCCAGAACGCTTGTAAGGTGTGAGTGTTTACAGGACACTGCTGGTTGGTGTTGATTTTACAGTTGGGGACTGTGTGTCTCAGTGTGAGGTGTTGATTAGGAGGAGTGATCAGGTGGCAAACGCTCCATGAAGAAGTGCAGAGGTCGCTCATTATCGCTTGCTTAAATAACAAAGAAACCATTAGAGAGGGGTGTGAAATCGGCAGTCGTTTGCATTGATTAGCGGAGGGGAATAGACTGTGTTAGATCAATCCATAAGTGTTCTGACAGCCTCGTGTGGGTCTCCTCACACACACTCCTCTCACTGCTCAAAGCAAAAGAAGTTTCATCAGTTGGCTCAAAGTCTGTGGAAATGCCTAGTGCAAATATTGGTCAAAATATTGGGCATGGCGAAGCACTGGTCAACCACTAAAGACCCCGATATTTAGTACTTTGCATGTTATTGAAGAACAAACTGGTGTGACGTAATTATGAACAAAATCAGGCCAAACTAAGTTTGTTTCTGGAGTTGGAAACAGAACAGCTTGCCAAAGCAAACATTCCAGAAAAGTTACTCCAGCTAGTAAACACCTTCGAACTACCATTGGTCTGTGGCGATTATGTAATAGGTAGGTGTGGCTCTGAGTCTCCGCCTTTCTTGATGCGAAAACCTTCTCGGGTTAGTTTCTTCTGTTCAGTCCGTCGAGGTCAGATGAGAGTAAAAACATGAACACACAGGAGAGCTGCTTTATAAAATGAAGTTATAATTCTAATTGAAAGAGACACTAGCTCTTTTCCATCCACCAATTTTTAAGCGAATTTTGGGACATTGCATAAAAAACTGCTGGATGGAAATGGCAAAATGCACATAAATTCAAAAAAATTGCATAAAAAACAAGATAACTTCATTGCTTCTCGTCTGAGTGCTCTCAGGCACAAGCTATTTATTATATACGAGAAATTGTATATAATACATACAGTGGCTTCTCCTACTGCACCAACTTTGTTTTTCTTAGTGATATTTAGCGGCAGTTTATCAGGAAGTGACGATTTTGTTCTCTTCGGCTCACTGGATGGAAAAGGCGCTTGGTTCGCAAATGTTTTATGCGATATTCCAATTTTGCGCACAAGTTAAATTCGCAACTTTGGATGGAAACATCACTACTGACAATTTTATCATGTTTAATACCATAAAGCTGCTTTAAAGCAATCTATTGCATAAAGTGCTACATTATTAAAATTGACTTGACTGGATTACGAAATTGCAGAGCTCGTAAAGACATATCCATGTCGATATGATCAGATGCTTTCTGAACTGATGTTTTCTCACCACTGTCATTTTGTTGTAGGTTTATTTTGATATTGAGAGGAAAGTGCGCAGCACATATTTACATATTCACTAAACGTCGGAGTCGGGATGTTCGCTAACAGTATACCACTGCAAACGTATTTCAAACTTCCTTTTACCCCCTAAGCAAAGAACTGCGCCGTGAGTGGGCCTTAAAGAAATAGTTCACTTCAAAATGAAAATTCTGCCATCATTTACTCACCCTCAAGTTGTTTCAAACCTGTATGAATTTCTCTCCTCTGCTGAACACAAAGGAAGATATTTTGAAGAATGTCGATAACCAGACAGTTGATGGACAAAATAATAGGAAAAAAATAGGAAAGAAATACTATGGAAATCAATGGGGTCCACCAACTGTTACTGACATTCTTCAAAATCTCTTCTTTTGTGTTCAGCAGAAGAAAGAAATGAATACAGGTTTGAAACAATTTGAGGGTGAGTAAATTATGAGAGTATTTTCATTTTTAAGTGAACTATTCCTTTAATCTCTGCTGCTGAGCAACAGGGCTACTCGCATGGAAGGGATGGTGGGAGGTAAAATCCACCGGCTATGTGCACTTCTAACCCTCTGGGAAAGAATTCGAGGTGCCGGTGACAAGCACAACACAGACCCCTCACAACAGCCAGCCGAATGCCACAGAGCTTAAAGAGAACAAATATTGTCAGAAGTGATGCCTGGAGGTGGAAGGGAGGGTGGTGGTTTTAAAGTCAGTCCAGACCCATAAATGAGGGCTTCCCATGAAGACTGACAAGAGATGAGTGAAGGACTGAATGACTGAAACTCTGCTGCTAAGTGTTTTCTATTGGGATGTTTGGCTAACAAGTGCAACTCTGCATCCAAAGCAGAATTTCCATCAGTATCTTCATTTCAAGCATGCTGGGATGGAATGAGACTGAAAGTGTTGAATGTCTGCTGATGAAGATTGTGGAGTCTGCTCACCTGCGATGGAGTGACTCCGAGAACTTCAAGCTGGCGTAAATAAACTCCTTTACTTGAGAGTAGATTTGAGGCACTGACTGGGACATGGGCAGCTTCTTTGGAAATTGTTGCTGTTTAATGAAGAAAAAAAAGTTACATTTGTGCTTTTATGAATCAAATATCATCACTTTTGGTAAATATATACATTCTGAGACTACTCTGACACTATACAAGGCATTAATTACTTCAATTAATTGGCCAAAATGGCGTTTTTGAGTGTTTGAAATACCTTTTCTATCTCTGCATCATGGAAGGGGAAGCGACTGACCACAGCCTTATACTCTTCTTCATTCTCCACTGGAATGGGGCTGTAGTTGTCCTGCTCAAAAATATCCCTGTTTCAGAACAGGAAACACAGATGTCATTGCATAACACAAATATAACCACATGGATTCACTAACATTAAAAACAATGCAGTTGTAGTTCAGTTCAGCTCACCTGAACACCAAGGCCCATTTCTTGAGCAATGTTTCATTGTACTGATCTCGGACCTCAAACAAAAGGTCAAAAAGTCTGTTCACAGGGAAGCCATAACCCTACAAAAGCAAAAATAATAATAGTGAGTAAGCAGCCAGAGTAAAAAAAATGTTTTAATACATTTAAGATTAATAAAAATATCAATAAAATGAAATGAAATGTAATTGGAAAGCAACATGGATATGCCTTAACCAATACATGTACCTGTAAAGTGTCTGCAAATATAACTATCAGGTTCTTCAGTTCGAGGACCAGGTCGGGATCACTGCAGTAGGACTGTTGGGTTAAAAATAATAATAATAATGATTAGCCTGGTTAAAACCAGGCCATTCTCAGTTGTAACTGAGTTATGGTCTGGCAAAGCGTCAAAGACAAATCATTTCCAGAGGGGCGTCACCAACGGACGTCGCGGATAGACCTAAAACCAATCAGAGCGATGAAGGAGATGACGTATGCAGAGCGGCGGAGAAACATCTCCGATTGTTGTTCTTTGCTCGGTTTTAACTAAAAGGAAACATTCAAATCACTTAAAACAGACGCGATAGCTGATTCGAACGAGTGATGTTCGACGGCGGCATCCATCTTTGTAATGTAGGCTACAAAATCTGCTTCAAAATCCCAGCGCTGTCGTCATCGTGTAAAGCCCGCCCCAACGTTTCTGATTGGTGCCTCGATTTTGACGGATTGGAAATGGGCTTGAATGAGCTCTTTGCCCGACTAACTTTCAGAGCAAATCTAAATTTGCCGGAAGTTGTCTGGGTTTTCCCAGGCTAAATAATGATAGGAATGACAACAAAATAATGCAACTTTTACATTAACATTCTTCACACATATGATTAGAACATAAAGCATATCTGAGTGAATCTCTCGAAGAAATGTTCAGGTCATATATTCTTATAATATATATAATTCTGGAAATGTGAAAATTCAGCTTTTACATCACAGGAATAAATGACATTTTTAAATATCATAAAACAGAGAACAGGAATTTTACATTGTAATAATTTGTTTAAAAACTTTTCAGTTTTCACTGTATTTTTGATCACATAAATGCAGCCTTGTTGAGCATTAAATTCTTCATTTAATTTTTTTAAAAAAGTCTAACAAAAGTGTGTGTGTATATATATTTAGTGCTGTATTAATCGCGATTAAACGATTCTAAAATAAAAGTTTGTTTAAATATGTGTGTATATATACTGTATGTATATATATATATATATATACACACTCATACATGCAGTATACACACATTATATAAACAAAACTTTGTTAGAATTGTGATTATTCGGTTTGACAGCAATAATTAATCTTTAATTAATTATCAATTAATCATAAAATGACATCAAAATGGCGAAATTTCTTAATGGTCTTGGATTCAAGCTTAAATTTCTTTCTTTCTTTCTTTTTTAATTTTGGGATTAAATATGAGCCATTTCTTTCATTTGATTCGCTGCAACTGCACAATAATAACTTGTGTTATCCATTGCTTCACACAGAGGAACCAATACTCACTGAAGCACATTTCTGTGGACCAGATTAGTTTAGGTTCAGCATTTCACTCTAAATGGGTAACTCACAGCCAGTCACTTATTGATCGAATACACTTGTGTCTTAATGAGTTTTTAGGTTACATTAGCATCTAAATGAGGCCGTCCGACCCTCCCCCCCTCGCTGATGGAGGCCTGTCCATGAGGTTAAATAGGAGAGAGCAGTGCTTGACCCAGGCAGGGGAGTGATGACTGACAGGGTTAGTGAATGTCTGAGCACACAGACCTGCCCACCCACTGCTGTATGAAACCACACGGCACCATTCCCCAAAACAGCAGCACAGATGATCTGGAAAAATCCTTGAGAATCTGCTTTTGGATTTTTCCATGTGTTCACACTCACGAACCACATTTCATTATCATTAAAAAAAAACATTCAAGCTATAACTGCCATAGAAACGTGTTGCTGCCCCAGTTTTTGGCAATCTAACACACTTCTCAGTCCATGGAAGTTTGATTCCACCACACAATAAAAAATGTATATGAGTTTATATCTCACAATTCAGACTTTTCTCACAACTGCAAGTTTATATGTTACAACAAGTTACTTGTAGCAATTGTGACATTTGACTTAATTCTGGAGTTTGCATCTCTGACTTTTTGTTCTGGAATTCTGAGTCTACATCTTGCAACTGACTTTTTTCCCCCTCAAAGTTCACAGTTTATGTCTTGCAATTTTGACGACTTGTCTTGGAATTCTAAGTTTATATCTCGCAATTCTCACTTTTTTCTCCTCAAAGTCTTAGTTTACATCTCATAATTTTGGCTTTTTGCCCCAAAGAATTCTGAGTTTATGTCTCATAATTTCACTTTTTGTCTTGGAATTGTGATGTACATCTTGCAATTCTTACTTTGTTTCCTCAGAATTCTGAGTTTATACTTGCAATTTTCACTTTTTCCCCCTCAGAATTCTGAGTTTAGGTCTCACAATGTTTTCCCCCACCATAAAATTAAAAAAAAGTTCTGGCTTTTTTCTTTCGCAATTGCAAGTTTATGTTGCAATTCTGACATTTCTTCTCAGAAGTTTATATCCCGTGGCGGAAAAAAAGCTTCCATACAATCAATTACTGATGAGTGGTTTTAAGTAGTTAATGATTCACAGTAAACTGCAGATGTGAGTTTGTCCTAACGCTATGAGATACACCCTATACGGCTGGCATCTTCAGCATTCGCAAAGATCTCCAGAGCTTTTAACCATGAGCCAGACGAGCCTCTTCCAGGTTGGTGGGGTTTGATAATGAGGGTGGTTGTACAGGAGCTGCAGGTTTGATTTACAGCCCCTTGCACTAGTGTGATTCTCTTGTTAAACATTTAGATAGGGCGCAGTGGCCTGCCTCTCAGACGTGGGGAGTGAGTGCGTAAATCACACGGTTAAATAAGCACTGGTCAAGCTGCAACACACGCCGTCACTCCACACTTCAGGACATGATGTACTTCATTGACAAAGCATGTGAACATGAACACAAAAACACACACATGCAAATATGTCCCTGAAAGAGGAACAAAACAAAGACCTTAGAAATGGACAAAGTCAAGCAAATATTTTTATAGAGTGTTATATCTCCTCCATTGTCACACAATTGCTTCAAGAAAACAACCATGCTCAGGCATTTCCTCAAGACATACACATTTTTACCATGAAACCATATTTTCTAAACTTACAAATTTTGTTGTCATTTAAAGAAAATGCCTTTTGGATTGTACAAATGCAGCCTGACCAGTGAGTTACACACTCTAGGTTCCCACACATTTTGACCAATGACTCTCTAAGACTTTTCCAGTCATTAAGTATGACTTTAAAACATTTTTTATAGAGGTTTCTGGGGGCTTTCATTTTGCATGGCAGGAATCAATTCTTGGAATTAATAGATTTAAATGACTGTACAAATGTCTCCAAAAACGATCTATTTTTTCTTTTAGGCAGCTCAGGAGCTAAGAGGGCTTTAGTCGTGTCTTTCCGTGAAGTTTATTTTCAAAACAAGGCATTTGGAATGATAATTGGAAGCATTTCCTGGTGAGCCCTTTCAGTGGCCATCCATTCAATCTGATCTAATGGAGAGGTCAGTTGGGCCTAATGAGGACAGATTGCAACAATAACAGCAGATTAACTGTGAATATTCTAAACTGCTGGGGCTGAAAGTGTGTTTGGAGGGCCAGTCAGTTGTAAATCAGTGAGGGATTATGCAAATACCCTGCGGCTGGAGCTCACAGCCTGAGTCCTCTGGCCCGAACAAAGGGGTCAAGCCTGCTCTCTCCCACTGCTAGCTAACTTTCAATCACAAAAAAAGAGACTCGGACCAGAGCATGGCAGAGAGAGAGAGAGAGAGAGAGAGAGAGAGAGAGAGAGAGAGAGAGAGAGAGAGAGAGAGAGAGAGAGAGAGAGGGAGGGTGGGGGGTGGGGGGGTGCATCCCCCGCATACTCAGACTCATTCGAGACTTGTGTTGTTAAAAGTACCTGTACTTCGGTGCCAAGTTGATACTTAAAGGGATAGTTTACCCAAAAATTTAAATTCATCAATAACCTCATGTTGTTCCAAACCCATTAGACTTTCGTTCATCATCTGAACACAAATGAAGGTATTTTAACCTCTATTGACAGTCCATGCAACAACTACTTTGACACCTAAAACAATTAATAAAGAGAACGTAAATCTAATCCATATGAATTGAGCGGATTAGTCCAAATTTTCTGAAGAGAATCAATCGCTTTATATGATGAACAGGTTGAATTTATGCTTTTATTCACATATTCATCAACTCGCACATCAGTTGTGGTAAACGGAAGCTCAAGCATTTTCGCTTGATGTGCGAGAACCAATGAGGTTCATTCTAGTGTTACGCACAACGTTTGAGCTTCAGCAAGAACCAATGAGGTTTGTTCTCGTGCGTCAAACCATTTCGGTAGAGCTTTTGGTTGAGCTTCTGTTTATGTTCGTTTATATATGAATAAAAGAAAATTTGGACTAAACCACTCAATTCTCAAATGTCTTTATGAACTTTTTGAAGCGTCAAAGTGGTAGTTGTGCAGACTGTCAATGGAGGGACAGAAAACTCTCAGATTTCATCAAAAAGATCTTCATTTGTGTTCTAAAGTTGAACGAAAGTCTCACGGGTGACAATTTTAATTTTTGGGTGAACTATCCCTTTAAGTCTTGCAGTGTAAATGCAGTAGACCTGCCATGTGTTCTGTTACCTGTAATGTGTTTCTCTTTGTTTTTCATTTTTTTCATTTTTCATTTGATGTCTTAGTTGAAGAATATTTGAAGGCTACAATAATGTATGATTTACTTGTAATTATTAGTATTAATAATTTCCTAATTTAATTTTATTATTATTTTTGTATTTAGTTGCGATAGTTTTTGCTATGGTACCGAAATTGATACCAATAACTTATTGGTACCGACTACTGAAATTTTGGTATCGTGACAATAGTTGAGACGTGTGTGTGTGCAGGACTCACAGAGTGTGTGCGAAGTACTGCGATGATTTTGGACAGGGCCATGTTCCACAGCTCATCTGTGAAGGCTCTGGTCACCAGACCTTGTGTGGCGTGTAAAATGTGATCTTCCACCACAAAGAACCTGCAGAGCATGATGGGAGTGGGCATTACATGGTTTAAATCAACTTTGTACATAAGAAAATGAACACACTGCCCTGCACATAAATATCTTCACAAATAAATCCAGATTTTACTTACCCAACAATCTGATTAAAGTACTTTCTGTAGCCCTCCACTGTTTCATGCTGGAGGAGAAAAACGCACCATTAAAACATATAGAAACAAATCAAATTGACGTGATTGTTTAAAGAGCAAAGAATACTAACCATGTTAGATTGAGGCTGCAGTACTAGTCTTGCTTGTTTTTTCCTTTGCTTCCTATAGTAATTTTCAAATGTTTCTCTGTCTCCCTAAAAAAAAAGAATATGCCATTAAAGAGGGTTTTAATAACCAATTAATTTCCATCTAACTTAATTTATACAAGAGCATTTAACTTTGGACTTCCACGGCATGTAATTATGCATTTTACCCCAGAGCAAATCGTATCTGGAATTTATCAAATGAGTTTCTGAGAACTGAAACTAAATCTTGTGTTGAAACCAACCCAGGCTCATTGTACATATGTGACTGCCTACATATCTGCAAAACATGAAATATACAGCTCGAAGTACATTTTGCTGTTCTTTTCAGGTTACATATCAACAAGAGGCACTTTGCAGATCCAGGTTTATTAAACAGCCCAGTGTGATGAAGAAAATGTGCCTGTGGGTAGCACGTTTCATGGCACTTTCTAAGTGAAATGTCCAGTGACTGGTGCTAAATAGCGTGTTCAGTTTTCTCAGAAACAGTTCAAACGTGACTGCGGAAACATTGGTTTGTTATACATATTATGGTAGTTTGAAAATGAAATGTCCAGTGAGTGGTGCAAAAAAAAAGTATTGTGCTTTATCATATACCCTGTACACTAATTCCTACCCTAAAGCTAACCGATAGAGTTAACAAAAACCCGCCCCCCTTAGTTACTGTTGCTATCTCGGACAAACACACAGAGTTTTTAACTGTCTTACAATGAAAGCTGTTAGTGTGAAAACCTTGTCCCAAGATGTTTTCGATCAATTTTGGACACGGAAGGACCATCTCTCTTCGAGGAGCATTCAAGTGGGACTTAAATATGCCATGGAGGGATATATAAAAGATTTTTAAATAAATATGGTAGGTAACAAGATTAATTTGGAAGTGAGGGTTTACTGATCACAATGCAAGCGGGAGAAGCACGGTCGTCACGATCACAGATGGCTGTTTATGAGCCATCGGGTGTTTTTGACCTACTGTACATGACGTGAGAACAGTTAGCTATTTATGTTTGTACGTTAGCATGGACTCACTAACTTTAATTGTAACTTAATGAGAGAATGACAACCAGAAAATGAACGTTTTCATCTTCATTGGGATTTGGGGTTGAATCCTTAGGGAAACTGCGCTCACATCATTGATATTATAAATAAACCGGGCTTCAGTCGTATTGCGCAGATAATTGTGCACAGTACGGTGATTCAAAACATGAATACCCATACCCATCCTCTCAGGATACCTGGAATCAGTGTTACAAGTACCCCAGGCACATTGTTTTACCATTTATTAAGCATAAACACTATAAAACCGATGAGAGCTTTGGATCTTCCAATGTTTTCTTTATGGCGCTAAAACCTAAAGATGTCCAGTCCCCATGCAACTGATACTCAACTGCCATTGGCTCATCTGCGTTCCAGGGGAGGGGCTTACCAATAGGTCAATTGTGCAAAAAGGAATAGTTGTTTTGCTGCCTCTAGTGGTCATTTTATCTGGAAACTGTATTGAATTGTGTGTATAGTTAAGTTTTTGTGGTTTATCAGAAATGTATCAGGCAGAGTCAAATATATATCCAACGAGCATGGGTTGGTTTACACATACAATCCCTCTGAATGTTAAGCACCCGAGCCCCCTTTCTCTCTCTGTGTGGCCGAAGAGTGGCCCTCGGCCCCTGCCAGCACCTGTGAGCTCACGGGTAGCACAGCGGTCAAAAGCGCTCGTGTTCTCATTAACTGAACCATTGAGGGGAAAGCGCTCGACTCATCCTACGCCCAGTGAATGCACCGCAGTTTGTGCACAATCTGAATGCCGAAGCGAACAACTTTTTCACTGCTTTGTTTTTATGGCGAAAAGGGGGTTACTGCTCGGTCAATCCCATTAGATGCTGCAGTCTGACCCCTTTTGTTGGTGTGCTGATGGACTCTGGATTAGTTCTGACCAGATGAGCGATGGCACCAAGCGCTAACAAACTCGATTTCATCTCTCTATAGTTTGCGCTTGGTTTAAGGCAAAAATAATATTGATGGCACGACTGTCAAAACTCTGGAAATCCCTTTGCTTATTTAAGCCATTAATGTTTGAGGAGCCACTTGGGAGAAAGCATTTCAGTGAAAACGCACTGTCAACTCAAAGGCTGGGCGCCTATTAAAAAAAGATCAACAGGAATGTTTCTCAATAAAACACATATTCTGTTGTAATGCAGAAACCAAACAAGGATTTCATAACATGTTATGAGATGGGCTGTTGTTATATTGGTTGTTCACTGTGTGCACGGCACGTCTGTAGTGAAGGAGACTCTGGGAATTACCAAAACAGTGTAGATGTGAAGACATCGGTAGACTGGTGAAAAATCCACCAGATCCTGCGCCGTCAAGACCTTAAAAAGAAAACGAACAAGGTTCAAGGAACATTTCTTGACCCGAGTGGCTTTGCTGGCACTAAACAATGAAGCTTCAAGTACGTTTTAAATCGATCAAACAACATATACAAGTTTAACAAAATATTCCTTTAATAACAGGTCCTCTTAAAGGCATAGCAGTTCATTTATGAAACAGATTGCAGTTTACACCTCGTCTTGAAATAAATGTGTCTCCAGTGAAAGGTTATATATTTTGCATTCAAATTTTGTATTTTATTAATACTTTTAATACACGCACATAGACTATTTCTGTCGAATACACTGTCCGGCCCCAAAAAAGATGGCGTGAGTAGCTTTTCATTTCTTAAATAACCATGTAGGAAGATGTAGGCAGAGTCACATATATCTTGACTCTTGCATTGTCAATACAACATCTTGAACAAAAATTGATGCACCCCTTCACGATGAAATAACTTCACAACATTTGTTTCCATCAAGAGGTGCATCAATTTTTAGTCAAGATCGTGTATTGACAATGCAAGAGTCAAGCACTCTGTAAAGTCTATTCCAGCACATCCCAAAGACTTGCAATGAATTTAAGGTCTGGACTCAGAGGTGCCAATTCATGTGTGAAAATGATTCTTCATTCCTCTGAACCATTCTTTCACAATTTAAACATGTTGAATCTTGTCATCCTAGAATATGGCCATGATGTTTCTTCCTACATGGTTGTTTAAGAAATGAAAAGCTACACACTCCATCAATAAGCGTTAAAAGAACTGTTGCCAAACATATAACATGCTAGAAACATAATAATCACTGCAATAATGATCCAACCATAGACTCTTAAGCATTTGCCTATTTAAATCCAAACAGCGATTTTCTTTTTCTTTTTTTTTTGGCCATGCAGTGTATAATTTTTGTAATGAAATCTGGACATTTTCCACTGAAAACAACAAATTTGGGACACACTGATGCTACTCTTCCTCAAAATGTGACTGTACATCATACCTCCTCATCCATCTCCTCTTCCTCCGGGCTCAGGCCGTTGTGATGGAGGGGTGTTCGGCCGTTCAGACCGTACAGAGGTTTGGCACAGCTCAGAGTGTCCTGCTTCTGCACCGTACTATTAAACGTACGGTGCTGCTGAGCCTGTGAGAACAGGGTGACAGGGAGAAGACCAACAGTAACTTCAACAGCCTACAATGCCAGTCACGACGTCATATGTATTGAGCTAACGACTTGCAACTTTAGATTTCTATTAGCTACATGAGCGACAAATTTAGTACACGTTTCAAAACCTAGTTAGGTGTCTACATAGACAGCATTCTAAAGCATCACGGTTTTGCGTGATATGTAGACGCAAATATGTAGATGTACAGTAGTTACGTTCAATTCTTGAAAGAATCTTAAGTCGGTAACCAGTCGAGAACCAGTTTGAAATGAACAGATCAAAAGAACCAAAAGATCCAGAGGATAACCTTGAAAAACTTCAACAGTCAGAACCAGACATTTCTGTTCCTTTGTGTCGGACATTACCAAAAAGCAGACTTATTTTGTACGTTTTATTATGATCTCTGAATCAGGGCAAATCAAGTCACATTTTGGAAGAAAGGTTGATGGTGTATTGACTCATCATTTCAATTTTGTTCATTTTGAACAAAAAAAAGTTACATAAAAATAGTGCGGCTTTAAAAAAGTAGGCAAATTAAATTAAATTAAAAATTAAAAAAATAATCCAACCTGTCTCATTGCGGTTTCACCAATCTTGTCCGAGTGTTTTCGGATACTTTCCAAGAAGTCTTTCAGGTCGGACATGGAGATCTCCTTAATCTCCTCTCGGAGTTTAGGAAGTGTCTCAGCCATAATTTGGCAGAACCTGTACTTGCTCACTCTGGGAATATAAATGTTTTCTAGCTGCTCCATGGTTTTCAATGCAGAGTAGTATCTGAAATGGAAAAGATTCATGTCAGTCACCACTTTACTAGTCCATAAAACCCCTTAAAATCAGTGATATTTCTATATGATAACAGCTAGCTGTTATCATATAGAAATATCATTGATTGTAAGGGTTAAATGTGTGTGTGTATATGTGTGTATATATATATATATATATATATATATACACACACACATTTATTTATTTATACAACTGAGTTACCTCAGTTTGTTGCGTATGGAAAATAGATTTACGCATTTTATAGAAGTCATTGCTTATCTCAACGCACAAACCAGATCATCCAATGATTGTTGATCTCATGATCACTTTTTTCACTATTTATTTTTCAATATTATTTGAAAAACTAAAGTGTATTTTTTGTTGTTGATGTTCCAATTGGGATTCAGGACAATTTTCATGTTATATTTTGGTTGCATTTTTGAGTTAATATAACTGGTTGTGTAAAATAGGCACATAACTTCATATAAAATACGAACATAAAATAGGGCCCTGAATCTAATCAAATTGAAATGTTTGAGGTATTGGTAAATATTGTATCGCTGGCTAAGAGAGAATCAATGTCAGATCAGATCATGATGAAACACCCATAATCCAGAAAATCTTTAATATTATTTGTCAAGAGTTTTTATAGTTAACTACAGACCATTTATGGCTATTAAGCCATTTTGCAGCTTTGCTGTATTAATATAAAGTGTCTGGGTATCACAGGTGGACGTTTATCAGCATTGCACAACAACACTACCACAACGAACTTTGGGAAGACTAGACCAATAACTGAAGCTGTCGCATCAAATAGCTGCAGAAAAAAAGTTTATAAATGCTAAAGAAGTTTATTAAAAGCTTGTGTTCTTACTAGCCTGTGCTCTCCACGTGCATTTCTTTATTTATTTATTTTACTTGTATTAATTAAGCGTGGAGGCCAAATATTCCATCTAGGAGGTCTTTTTCCATCTATATCTACACCAAACTATTTTTGTTTTCAGAATATATGCAACATGGACTCAAATATAACAATTGTGCACAATGTATGAATGTGCCGTCCATGTTCAACGTATTAATACGTTTATTAACTTGTACAGCCGGTGCCTCTGAATGCTCCCTGACCTCACCGCTCTGAAGTGCGCGTGCGTCCGTGTGGAAGGCCAAAGTGGCGCCCCTTCCCAGCGAGTGTTACATGTGAACTGCGAAAGAATCCCTGCCTGATTAAACCATGTCCCAGCCTAGTCATTAGTCCGCAGGGGCGACACACAGATTAATGGAAAAAAACTTTGCGCTAATTGCCTCAATTTGGAGGATGCCTGTCATGGGCCTGCCGGTACAGGACAGTGCTGTGAAGAAGGGCACACACAAGGTCAATTGTCTTTGAGTTTGAATAGTTTATTTATTCATGATGTGTCCTGACTGACAAAGTAGACCTTAATGGACAAAAAGGGTCATTATTTTCAAGTTCAATGTGACCCTTACATTCATGCCTTCTTTCCAGGAGAAAAGATCGAACACTTCTTCATGTTTGAATGCATTCTTAGCAGAATTATAATAGTTCAATTGATTTTTTTTCATGAGAACACTGGCACTTTCCACACACTCCTTTACTTTTTAAAGCAAAGGCACAAATATCATGTTCTTTGAAATGAAAACTATTAGATATCTTAGATCAATTACTATTTTACATAAAATTATTACTTTTTTAGTACATACACGTATAAATGAAGTTCAAATGTCTGCTCAATTCATTATAGAATTCATTTTTTTATTATTTTAATAGCCAATATTATACATATTTCATTGCTTTATCATCACATGACTTTCACCCCATTTCCTAATTGTGACACCATGGAAGTGACATAATTTGGACACTTTCTTCAGCAATCTGTAAATAGTCTCGTTCATTTTTTCTACAATTTTACACTAATTGTAGTTTTGACTACATTCATCAAGCTCATTCATTCAATGATTATGACAAATATTACATGGTCATGAGTATATTTTTTTCTCTCTCAAATTTAAGGAATAGGTATCAATAACTAAAAACCAACAAACCGACCTTTGTCCTAGACAAACCTACTTAGGGACGACATAATTTTGATTGAATCTGCAACCTTGTTAATTTGGAACCATAATTTTGTCGTTTATTTTTTTACACATTATACAGAATTTTTATTTAATTTTTAATGCTAGAACATCAAATCATTCAAATAATAGTTTTAAACTGCAAACCTCAAACTTAACAACTTAAAAAGTTCATATAATATTTAGTTGGACATCATGAGGTGGATGAAAAACACTGCTTTTGCTGAACTCCTTTTTGAAGAGTTTCAAACCCATTTCATCACCATTAATGACTATGACTGATTTGCAAAGATAAAAACTGTGAGTAATGTTACCTTTTTGATTCAAGCTGCTCCTTCAATTTGCTGTACATTTCCAGCACTGTAGAAAAGGAAATAAAAGAGGGTAATATAGAGGGGGAAAGACATTGTATTAAAAAGAAATCTTAACTGAAACATTTAGTTAATTCAGTGAATTGAAACCACTCCCTAAATTTCTAATATTACTTTTTGAAAGAAGTGGACTAAAGAAACCACAACCTAACTTAATTTATCTACAGCATCATCCAACAGGTTAGTTTGGTTAAACCACTGTAACAACAGAACATCAAATTCTCTTTCTGTCTGTCTCTTTTCCTAACAGTTAGGAATTTTTGTATTAATTTTTAAGTCAGAGAGACGGTAAGATGTAAACACAGAGCACTGATTAATGAGGACCTGGACTGGTTACTGTAAGGAGAAACCTGGGAACATTCACATTTACAGTTTCTTGATTGCGTTTACTCGTCTTTTGATGAAATCTCTAGAGTGTTTGCAAGCCATACGGCGAGCGCCTTTCGGTTACGCGAACGCGCCGTCTCACCGGGAATGCAGAGCTGCAGCTTCTCCACCGTGGTGGCCATGTTCCTCTGTTGAACCCGGCAGCGGATGACCTCCTCCGTTTGGGCCGTCACCTTACATAAGGGAAGGTCAAAGAGTGTGAAGCCCTCTCAATTAACGAGACAGTCCTCTCTGCTCTATTGTCTGATAATCGACATTCTTTTCTAACGGCAGACATGCTAACAAAGCCAGACTGTGCCATACCTCCCGTCCGGCGTCTTGAAGTCTTCGATTGGTGTCACTCACTTGGCCCTTAAAACATAATATCACTTTTGTTAGACAAATAAGCCCACAATTCCCTGTTGTAACTGCTCACCCTTGTAATCAGATCATACTTCATGAGGAGTCAAGAACAAAGGCACGCAAATTCAAATTAAATGTGCAGCGGGAACTTGAACTTTTGGTCGGTAGGGAGCTTTTATGGCCGGTAATCGCTTCTGACAGCCCTTTCTAACAGATTCTGTGACAAACTTCTCAATTTTACTTGGGATTTTTGAACTTTGGTTGTTCCTCTGGCCCTGTCAAACAATTCAAATCAATGACCCAATTGACCATTGGTCCCTTGTTGGTAACTTCAATGAGCTCTATGTGCCATTCATTGTCTGGGACAAAATGTGGATAGCATTTTCTGGTAATTAAACATTTAATTTTTTTCTTATTTTTTTCGGCTGAACACAAACGCTGGGTGGCTGATTAACATCAAATTTGAAGACCTCCACACCACTGCGCCAGTATAGTGGCCCAGGTGCAGGGACCGCACGGCCGGAGACTTTCCCACATATTAAGTCTCATTAGGTCATCGTAATAAGGAACCGCTTTTTGAGTTTATTTAAAATCTCTTTTATTCGGGAACAAAGGGGGCCAACGACCTCATTGATGCCGTATGTGCTCTCTTGTTATCTGAATATGCTTTATGTAATTTGGGTCTAATTACGAGGATTGGTGAGCCACTCCTGTGCCGTTTGGTCACCATATTTCACTCTGGGAAGTGGAAAGGGAGCTAAAGAGAATTGGCGTGCGATTCCAGTGCGAGGTCTGGAGCGCCGCTTAACCTCATGAACGCGCAATGACCGGTCCGTCGTGGACGAAAGCTAGACACTGTGTCTCTGCATCCAATGGGAGTTTGTGGAAACCAACAAAAAACAGCACAAATATAAAAATTCAATTGTGCAACAAACTTTGTTCTGGAGAATGGTGCTTAACCTTTATTAATACAATTTCAAGGCAAAATAATTGTTTACTGTGTACTCTACTGTAGAAGAATATATGTTCTCTTACGCCATTTTAAAGGCTAATACTGTCTAAACATGGATTTGAAATAAAATACCCCTCTCTATGGACAAAATACCCAAAAGTACTTTATAACAACATTATGCACAAACAATATTGCAAAATAATTGCCTTATTATGTCAGTAAAAAGCATGTTTTTTTACATTGTTTTTCACTAAATGAACATAAGGGATAATATTTCATTTCTTATTATTTTCTTTACACTATCGTCCAACAGTTTTGGGTCAGTATTGTTATTCAGAAGTCTTATTCAGCAAAGACACGTTAAATTGATTAAAAAGTGACAGAAAAAAGACATTTATAATTTTACAAAATATTTCTATTTCAAATAAACGCTTTTCTTTTGAACTCTATATTCATCAAAGAATCGCAGCAAATCAACATATTAGAATGATTTCTGAAGGATCATGTGACACTGAAGACTGGAGTAATGATACTGAAAATTCTAATTTTAAAATATCCTCAAATACATTTATTTAAAATTTTATTATTTCAAAATATTCCAGGTTTTACTGTATTTTTCATGAAGGAAAATGAATCCTTGTTAAGCATAAGAGACTTATTTAAAAATTCTTACCGACCCCAAACTTTTGAGCGGTAGTGTATATGTACCATTTTAAAAATACAAAGTAATAATAAGTAATATAATCTATATATATTTCTTATTACAAAATTATTAGTGTGTAAAAAAAGTGCCACAAGGACTAACAAAGCATTTTGACCTGATTCTATGGAACTTAATAAAAGCTTTTCAACATGATTTAAAATCAGAGCAACATTCCTGTTTAAATAGTTGTGGTTATTCTAACTATCACCAGCTCTGTTTAGTATAATGCTATATTTTCCAGTACCATGATTTCACCACCTGAAACTATTATAATACCATGGTATTGTCACAATATATAGCAGGGAAGAATTTATTATTTCTCAATAATAATGACAAGCTTATAATTTCTAATCCCTGAAATAATTTTGATCATGATTTCCACCTACCATCAGTTTCTCAGCATCCGCTCGGACTTTCAGCAGTTCTGTGATGGCGTCCACGAATCCCTGATGATGGAAGTTGCACATTTTCTCAATCTCTCGGTCATGGTTGCGTATTCTGGCATCAAGTTTCTCCATAAACCTTTTGTGTGCGTTGGGCTGATCATCATAAACAGATCTATAAAACAAACATCAAATTAATACATGAAACTATTTCAAACAACAAAGAAATCTTCATTAAAGATGTATTTTTTTCATGTTGAACCACCATTTCTAAACTCAACTACACTTTTATTTATAACGCACTTTCAAAACAATTAGAATGGACCAAAGTGCTGTCCATAAATAGTAAATCACTCTAAAATAAATAGAAACATAAAATAACTTCAAAACACGACACCAAGAAAATCATACAACCAATCACTCAGTTCTCAGACCTAATCAAACGGCTAAAGTCATTTTAAAAAATATCCATGCTTGACGAGGATTTTAAAGATAATGGCAACACACATTTCAGAAAAGGTAAAACACCTATTATTTTAATGTGATTAAAGGGCAGAAACACACTTGGCGCTGATGTCCATATCGTGTGTTTCCCCTTCAGATAACACACACTTCTCCTTCAATACTCTGCAGGTGGTGTTCTCAGCCTCAGAGCATGTGTGTATCAGTAGCTGTGGTAGTCTGTGTACAGCAGGGAGAGCTGGCGAAGCGAGGCCAACAGATGGGCCGCTTCTTCAGTGTGCTGTGAGATCACAGAGTGTTTCGCCCTCCTCACTGCTCCAGATGGCCAAGAGAGCCGTCTCTCTCAGTGAAGAAGAACAGAATAATCCAAGATGATTCAGGGTCTTCACTCACTTCGTGACACAGACGGGAAAGTGTGAAGGGAACTGACATTGCACAAGTGCTGCATGAATTCTCATTTACAATTGATGTGAAACAGTGAACAAACCATTTTATTTGTTTCAAAGCAAAACAGAATGTTCAAAATGTTCTCTTTTTTTGGGACTTATTACCCATTAGTGATTGATTGGATTCCAAAAAGTGGTATAAAATGCCATGGTATTACCATGATTCATAACTCAAAGTGGGCTGTAACACATTATTAGAGGATCCATGAAAAATCTGAGAGAAAAATTATTTCTTCTATAAATGAATATCAGATCTTCTATAAATGTATATAAGATATTAATGAAATATGTTAAAGACAATATTTTAACAAAATCCTTTGGTACATTGCAGGTTTATTACAGTTAACTAAAACAAAAACTATAAAAAAAAATAAAAAAAACATTTGTTACCGGAAATAAAATAAATGTTATATAAAATTAAACAATTACTTTATTTTAGCTAGTTGCCAATGCAACATCTCATTCTCTTTTAGTTAAACTTGATGTACTAAAATAAACTAAAACTTATAAAACAATAAATTACAATTAAAAGTTATAGACCTAAAAAAAAACTAATAAAAAAAAAGACAACAAAATTACTAAAACTTGAACTAAAATTAAAATGGAAAATATAAAATTCAAAAATAATTTTAAATATACATATAAACTATAATAGTGTTTAAATGATCCTAAAATAACCCTTTACAATAGAACATTTCTTTTTTTGAAACACCATTTAAATGGGTTTTTTATATTCACATGTATTTTATACATGAGAAAATGTAGCTGGCTTTAGAGATGGGGCTGGATGGTGGATGCATGAATGATTCTCCAAGTGCGCCACCCTGTGTGCAACAAGGGAACGATGCATGTTGAATCTGATGCATAAACAAACCAGCACCCATAGATCAGTGCACAGAGTTTACACTGACTGAACATGACACGGTTACTCATCACAAGTGACAGAAGTGATTGTACACATGTAATAAGTAATAAAGATGACCTTAAAACACTCAAATTCATTAATATACTGCCATGCATTAAATAGACCCAACGATATGACAAGTCCCAACAACATTCAGAAGGGGAACGTGTTTTCTATACTTCGGAGCAGTATAGGCTATAAAACACCATATCACAGACTCATAGCGGTCAATTTTTGACAGTTTCCATGGATAATTGAATTAAGCAATTAAAATGATATCCCTATAATGTGTGCATAAAATAAAATACATTAGTTTTCTTGTCTTTATCAAACGCCCATTCGATTCAATTTTCAATTCACATTTATTTGTATAGCGCTTTTCACACATCGTTTCAAAAGAAACTTTACAGAAGTGCATATGTGTCTACATTACAATTTAGAGTGATCTGTTATCAGAGATGACTGTGTCCAAGTTATACATTTCAGAAATGTACATATATATCACACGGTTAGCTAAAAATAAATTAATTTAACAGTGTATTAATTAAGGGCAGAAACAATGACCTCATTGAGGTAAAGAATACATTTTGTTAACAAATGTTTAGGATTATTGTGTCGCAGCCGCATTCCGTCCAGCACACCTTTCTTTCCTTCAAAGCGGTGCGCTTTCGTTCCTCCCTAAAAACCCAGCCAAATAAGTGAGTGTTGTAAAATGCAGTCTCCTGTTGCTAAACTATGGAACGTGTTTGATATTAAAAACTGGGTATTAAAAGCACATTAAGGCACAAAAGAGACACTAGCTGCTTTTCCATTACCCTTCAAATTGCGCAAATTGAAATTGCCAATTGAAAATACGCCCAAAGGAAACACGTCGATTTCATAAAAACTACCATATATCGCAAAAAAGTGGTGGTTCACATGAGGTGGTTTTCCAGGCAATTCGGAGAAAAAAAACAATATTTCGCAAAACTGCAATGGAACAATTTTATCCACCCATTTACAGGTCACCTGGCCTACGTAAAAGTCGATCTTTCTTTCTACTGGTTTCTAAAAAACAAAGAATTGCCACAATTTATGCTTTCCTTGTGATTAATACTTGGATAACACACCTACGTCTCCTTCGATTCAAAATAATGGCTAGTGCAGTGGCTGCGATATACTTAAACCTATCCGTTGCCATGATTTTTAGTATGACTTATCACGAGAGTGAAAAAATTACGCTTTAGTCGCATAACAGCGCTTAATGGAAACGCAAGTTCATTTCGCAATAGTTTTTTATCGACATTTAGAAAATATCGCAAAAGTTTTGCGCAAATCTGTAATGGGAACCGCTACTGTTCCCCAGGCGGCTTTCTGTGCGGACGCTCTGAGACGGAGCCGAATGCGGATAAGCAAATGGGCTTTGGATACGCGAGTAGAGATATAACACTGTGGGTTATATCTTAAATAAGCGTACACAGTTGAGAAAGAAAACGTGTGTGTAACAGTATATTGAAACTGTGCATTCGCTCTTAAAGTGACAGCAGCCTAATAGCTGCTGCACTCTGTCATTAACGTTACGTTAATGTCATTTCATTCTGTTGTATTTATTTGTCTGTTTGGTTTGTAATTACTTTCTTTGCTCTTATTGTATTGCTGACTGTTACCTTGTCTAATGTCATTATTTTGAGGAACTTTTCTTACATTGGTTAACCCAGATATTCATCTGTGCTGAAGTATTGATAATCGTGAAATTTCACTGAGACTTTGATCATATAGCCTACCAATAATCGTGTTAAATAATTGTGATTTCAATATTTTAATACCAAAAATAATTTGCCATTATCGAGCAGCCCTAGTTGGCATTGTGCAAATTTGTTGCAAACCTACCGGTACGTAGGTTTGTGCAGGAAGTAAGACTGGAATTAAGCAGTTCTCTGATTTTTTTAACTTTGCAGACCTTTTACATTCATAAAGAGCTATAGCACAAACGACATGACAGGTAATATCCGAAAAAGCTAAATAGGGGCACTTTAAAATACAAGACAAATAAGAAGAACAAAGTGTTGTGACATGGTGTGAGGCTAACAAAGTTCTGCTATTGATTTGCTTCCTTGTTTTATAGAGATGACTGCCGTAACTGAAAATCCAAAGGAACTCATTACAAAACATTATGAATCATGATGACGAGAATAATAAACTCTTGAGTCTGAATATTTGTTCAAAGATCCATTCAGACAAGATAAATGGTTTATCTCATGACTCTGATGTGTGAGTATCAGCATCTGAACTGTTCACAGGTTTGTTTGTGTGAGAGATAGAACTTGCTTTGAAACTATTTCATGAGACATACTGGAACTGAAGCATCTGAACAGTGGCAGCAATTAGCATGGGGTCATATGAAACGAACAGCATTAAATAATCTCAACCAAAACTACAGACAAAAATAAAGATATTCATAATAACAAATTATTATCTAAGTCTTGGGTGGCTCACGGCTAGTAAAACCGCCAGCTGGCTCGATCTATCTGATGCCAAGAAGAAGGTTCGGATGAAATCCAGGTTGCCATTGGCAACACAGCCTCAACGTCTAGACAGTGAATGGACTGTTTAAACAACCTTTAAAATGGCACAACTACACAATGTTGCTAGTTCTGAGTGCATTTTACCAAGATGTGATACAATTGCTAGGATGTCTTGAGTGGCTACTGGCAGGGATGAGAAACCAGTTTCATGTTCACAAATTCTATTTGATTAGAGGATATGATGAGTGAACACCAGATTTTTTTCAATGGTCCACAAGGGGGCAAAGAATTTAAACCAAACAGCTTGTGTTTATTTCTTGTTTTGGTCAATGTTTGCTTAACGACAATAGCCTTTTAAATTAAGTTGTCATATTCATTTATTTTCAGTCAGCTGTACTCCATATACTGTACAAACAAACACATTTACATGGGCCAACAAAAATATGAAAACTTTCTTTGTTTTGAAAACAATATGTTCAATGTGAATTCTTTAAGATTAAGTTTATGTTGTGTAAATATCCGATTAATCTCATATAAGATGCGTTTGGTTCTCAAAGAACCAACTGTAAAGTAGGCCTACTTTTAGTTTACCGGTGTTCATTCACTGTTTTGGCTTCAGCTCCTGCAGCTCAAACTGGTCAATAGAGTGCATTAGAGCCCGTTCACTAAGAACTTTTTCCATTCATTTTTCCCATTGAGATTTAAAAATAGTCTTTGTTAAAGCGTTATAAGTGATGATGAACCAAACCAACCAGATACGAGGTAACTTTTAACATAAGAAACTTTAATTTTAGGCAAAAAGTATTAGAAAATGGGACAAAAAGACAAAGATAAAAGACTGTGTACTTCATGGATTAAT